GTGGGCATGAAGTCTAATTCCCTCCTGACACTCTGTGAATTGCACTTCTGGTAAAATGTGCTTTAATTTTATTTCTAAACCAAAAATGCCTGTCAAGTCACTTCCAGTTGAGGAAGAAAACCCTACTTTTGATAAAAATGTTTACTGGTATTATTTCTAAATCAGGGCCACATGTCTCAATTTACAGAAGAATTGTTTTTCTTGGAGTGTAGTTTTCTTGTTTTTAACAATGGTGTCAAAAATACAATGAGGTGTGCCTTGGAGCTCTGGGATCCTACAAAACTGGGGGAGGGGGTGGCATGTAGCCTAGAGGCCGGTGCTGCATGTCCCTGATTGAAGCATTCCTTACTTAAGAGTCTACCAGTTATATTTTATTCTACTTGCAAATTTTTGACGGTATTCACAGGTAGCAATTTCTGCACTACAATACTAAAATCATGCCGTCCATAGTGATAGTCTAAAGCCGTTCCATAGTCATTGCACATCTATATCTGTTATCGCACTGTAATATTCTCTGAAAGCCTCATCCCAACACCAGGTTTTTACTTTCCTTATGAAGGCTAGGAGGGAGGGGGCTGATCTAATATCACTAGGGAGGGGGTTCCACAGCTGAGGGGGCACCACTGAGAAGGCCCTCTCTTTTTTCCACACCAGTGGCTTTTGTTAGAAAGACAGGACCGAGAGCACGGCCTCCCCAGATCTTAATCTCTCAAGTGGGTCATGGGGGGAGATGCACTCGGACAGGTAAGTTCGGACAGGTAATATTTATTTATTTATTTATTTACCATATTTATATACTGCCTCTCTCAACCCGAAGGTGACTCGAAGTAGTTTACAGTCAGGAACCAATGCCCCCAACAACACGTCCACTCTGATTGTCCATCCCAGATCTGATATTCCTAAATGCGAGTCCTGATCACCAGCACACTTCAACCAGATAAGGTCATCAAGCGAGAGATCACAAAAGTTGATTTCAGTAGCAGGGAAAATGTCTCTGGGGTCTTAGGACCATAAAAACCAGACACCTTGAGCAAGACAAAAGACTAATCATTTATATGTTCCTGTATGAAAATCACAAGATGTTCTGAGTTATTACATCCGTCTAAGCCAAAACAGGATACTGCATATCTATAACTGTATGATTCCATTTTAACTGCCATGGCAAAGTCATGTGGAATGCTGGGTTTGTTATTTGGGGAGTTCATATAAATGAACTCTCTGACTGAGAATTGTAAGTGACCACCAATTCCATGATCTCATGGCAGTTAAAAGGGAATTAGCATTAAAATTGCGAAGTGTGAAAGGGCACAAGAATAAAGCATTGATATATACACAAGAATTCCAAGGTTTGAAGTAGGACAGAAAACCTTGTGTGGAAGGGATGCTCGATAGTTAAGTGAGGACTAAGCATACCCAGTTTCCACAAAAGGTTTGAATTATCTGGTGGTGGAGGAATAGAAATTGCAAAGACAAAATGGAATCAAATGAGGCACAGCAAAACAAAAAAAAAACAAAAAAAAACTGAACAGGAGCTCTCCGTCCAAACTGCAGAATATTTGAGTGCAAATCCAATTTGGTACCTATGTATACTGCCATTGTGTCAATATGCATATTTTGTGCTTTTTTGTGATGCAACCTTCTTTTCTTTTGCTGATTTGAACCACAGATGGAGGTTTGGGGTCATGGTTGTGGCCTGGAGCAAAAAAATATAATTGCTGTGTTTTTTAAATAAAGCGTTTCACAGATAAAGTAATTTAAAACAACAATACCGCAGATGAGTCAGGGTGCTGTCTCTCATCATCCCACAAATGATTTTTGTTGTAAAACCAAATCAGCTACTTCTCTGATTAATTTTAATTGCCAGCAGTTGAAAGATTTGATCTGGTTCATTGGCAGCTGTGTTTTAGACAGAGAAATCCTTCTTTCTCTTTCTGTCTCCAAAGGTACAGAACAATGCTCCATTAGTAGTTTTAGAGAAACCATATCTTATCCAGTGTCTTCAGATGTGCTGGACTGTGGCATTCATCACTCTTAACCAGTCCTGGTATTTCTGCCTGTGGATTATGGACATTGTAGTCCATCACATTTAAAGGGCTCAAGCATAGGGAACGTTTTCTTTATACAGCTGAAAACCGCAGTGTTCACCAGTGCTCATTTGCCATGATTTCCTCCTCTTCCTGCTACTGTCTCAAGACTGAAGCTTGGGATCAGTTTCACATCAATGAAGGATCATGTAGCACAGTGGTTCCCAACCTGTGGTCCGTGGACCACCGGTGGTCCCCAAGAACTAAAATGTAGTCCATGGTCTCACCCGTTACTACGCTGTTGCAATGAGAACAACTGGCCTTGCGAAACCCTCATAGTGCTGAGGCAACGGGGATGTCAGGAGAGGTTGCCTACCACAAAAGGTGCAATAACAAGCCCCCTGACTGCTGCTTCTCCTCCTCCTCCCTTCCCCTAAGTGGGGCCATCCCACAGTGTGGTGCCTAGAAGTGGGGATGCCTTGGTGTCTTCATTTTTAGGCCTGTTCTTGGGGTTATTTGGGGTGCTGATTCAGAAAATTGCATTGGATAGACTACATCAGCTCTAGATTATGAAATATAGTTTTCTGTGGGAGAGCAGATGGCAACATCTGGATGGCATATGTTCTGTATCAGAAACTAAAGCTGATGTGCTCTATCCAATACAGTTTTCTGAATTGGCACCCCAAATGACCAAAATGAATCTAAAGCTGATCAAAAACTGATTCATAACCCTTTTGGTATTAATATTGGAGAGTGGTCCCTGGCCAAGTGGTCCCTTATCAAGTGGACCCTGGTCAAAAAAAGCTTGGGAACCACTGATGTACTTTTAAAACTTATTCTCATGAGTATACTATCCCAGAATAGTATGTGAAAGCTTTCCTTGTGTGGTCCATGATGTCCCTATGCTTGTTTGTTCTATTGGGCATATGCTTGCATCGATCACAGCCTTCTTGACCAGGTAATGTTTCAATTAAGTGAAAATGTTTGCAGATCTCATAGAGAGATCCTATTCACTTCAAGTCTTGTGGTTGAGTCGTGCTTGGATTTGTTTCCCCTGCAACCTGCATGTGGCTTTCTTACCTGCAGTGTAAACCTGCTTTGCTGAGATCTTAGCATGTGATGCCAATGATTAGTACGCTACTTTTCTCAGCCTAGCATATGAGGTTGTTAACTCTGAGGAGCCCACACCACTAAAGTTACAATGCTCTCTCAATAGTGTAGAGATATTTTTGTTCAAAATTCATTTCTTGTATTCCAGATGAATGTAACTTTTGTTTTGTACTTTGCCTCCAGTTTTCAGATTTCTGGGTTATAATGAAACATAAAAAAGACAAGTGTCCAGACTTCTTTCTTGGAACAGATTATGTGGAGAGCTGAATAACATTCACTCCTTTTAAAGCAGGACAGCTTTCCTTAAAGGGTAGCTGTCCAACTATAGCTCCCATTATCCCAAGAAAATGACCATACAGCTTAGGTTGGTGAAAGCCATAGTCCAACTAAACTGGAGGGATGTCGTGGGATAATACCATTTACTATTTTATTTTTATACATGGAATGCTCTGTAACTGCTGCAGAAACATCACTTTCAGCTAGTTGATCATCATGCTTCATTCTAAAGCTGCAGACAGAATGATGTATCTCCTTGTGCATGGAGGCCAAGCAGAGCTCTCTATGAGCTCTGCTGGCTTTTATGATAGAAGACCCCTTGGCTTCTTCTGCATTTGAGGAGCTGAGCAGCATATCATTCTTCATGTTTATTGTCAAGTATCAATGCAAAGTGGGTTTGGATGTTAACAGATTTGAGATGTTTCTGGCACATTCTTTCAATGACTCAGTGAATTGATGGAAGGGAGAATAAAGAAACGGAAGTAGTGGGAGCTAATGGGTTCAGCAATCTTTCAAAATAACATGCATGCCTTTGGCATTTATAAAATTCTTCAGTGGGTGCTCTCAGCACATGTACCACATGATCTTACATGCAGCAACAGAGCATCTTGTTTTATAGGAAGGCATGCTGTATGTGTGTTGAATGTGGCTGTTGCAGAATTTTGCACATGCCAAAGGCATGCATGCATGTTATTTTGAATTATTTCTGTAGCACATAGCTTGCCAATTAATCCATGATGAATCATAGAATCATAGAGTTGGAAGAGATCCCATGGGTCATCCAGTCCAACTCCCTGCCAAGAGCGCCCCCAACAGATGGCCATCCAGCCTCTGCTTAAAAGCCTCCATAGAAGGAGCCTCCACCATGCTTCAGGGTAGAGAAGTTCCACTGCTGAACAGTTCTCACAGTTAGGAATTTCTTCCAAATGTTTAGGTGGAATCTCCTTTCCTGTAGTTTGAAGCCATTTCCTCTTCAAACTACAGGGGAGTTTCTGGTCTTCAGAGCAGCAGAAAACAAGCTTGCTCCCTCCTCCCTATGACTTCCCCTCACATATTTATACATGGCCCTCATAATGTCTCCCCTCAGTCTTCTCTTCTGCAGGCTAAACATGCCCAGCTCTTTAAGTTGCTTCTCATAGGGCTTGTTCTCCAGACCCTTGATCATTTTAGTAGTCCTCCTCTGGACACATTCCAGCTTGTCAACATCTCCCTTCAATTGTGGTGCCCAGAATTGGACACAGTATTCCAGATGTGGTCTAACCAAGGCAGAATAGAGGCAGAATGTTCTATCACTTCAAGCACTTTCAGTAGTCACTGATAATGCAGAATAGATGGAGTTTGAGTTGAGTGTTTGGCTCATGTTGGAGCTATTGCATCTTTTGAGGACATGTTTGCAACCTTCTGATTTAAATGTGTGAATTATTGACACTCTTTTTTTTTTGCTTGAAGAGGCTTTGAATGGTTTATTAACAGATCTTGAGAATATGGGGGATGTTCTCTTTTAACCATTTGTAGGGAAGGCACCTGTAATTCTGTAATTTGATCTTTTGTGGGGAATGTGCATTGATGCCTTCTCTCCTTCTGCCATAGGGGAGGACTGCGAAGTCAACTCTCGCTTGGGCCGCTGCTCTCCAGGAGTCTGCAGAAATGGCGGCACATGTGTCAACCTTCTGGTGGGCGGGTTCAAGTGCGATTGCCTGTCAGGAGACTACGAGAAGCCCTACTGTCAGATGAGTACCCGCAGCTTTCCAGCTCATTCCTTCCTCACCTTTAAGGGGTTACGCCAGCGCTTCCATTTCACTATTGCCCTCACGTAAGTATTTGGTATGAAGGGGGAGAGTTTAAGAGTATGTTCATTTGTGCTCACTCATCTGCCATTTTGTCCTTTAAAATAATGATTGCACTCTGGATTATGAGATACCTCTGTTACAATTACTGATCTTGCATTTTTAAAAAACAAATAATTTGAAATATTAAAAAAATAGATATAAAGAAGAGTCATAATGAAAGCCGCATATGAATCAAGTCAGAAAGATGTGGTATATCATTGGACTATGATTCAGATCTGAAGGTACAACTGGTCACATTCATGTGGGCAAATCCCAAAGAAGCAACTGCTTCTTTACACTAGGGATGCTTTTTCCCCAAGAGAAAGATACTTGTATCTCAATTTAAGGATATGCCCTTAGTCTGTCCTGATTAAACTTTATGAAAACAGTTTCAAGAAGCAGTAAAAAGAGGATTTGAGAGTTGGATTAGATTGGACTCCGAGAGATGAGACTCTGAATCCCTGCACAGATATGGAAACCCACTGGGTGATCTCTTAGCCTTAGAGGGAGGCATATCTTACCAAGCAAAGTCTATATGTTCACCCTAGGGACATCATAAATTTGAAAATACTTGAAGACATACAGCAGCAACAACAACAGCAACAACAACAACAACCCAAGTTAATAGGAAAAGAGATCAAATATGTAATATAGTTTTAGTAATCTAAATATTGGAACATATTTAGTATTGCTAAGAGTAATCAATAGTTCGGCATGTTCAAAATGTTGGCATGTATTACTATGTGGTTCGTATAGCAACTTTGAAGGTGGGCAAAGTAAGATATATCACAGATATTTTGGCATTGCCTTTGGCAGTGTAGCCGCAAGCACAACTCTCCCCTTTCCTCTTTTGCTTCCCCCCCCCCCCACTTCCAGTTACTCTTGCACTGCTGAGTATATAGTGAATTGCATTCGTAGAGCACACAGCAGGATCTAACAAGAGATTAAACTGGCCTTAGACCCTATGATATTTCCGCCATTTTCTTAAAAGTAAACCAGTCTTATTATCCCCATACAACAGGTTAGAACCTTAGAATATTAGAGTTGGAGGGGGACCACAAAGGCCATCTAATCCAAATTGAAAGTGTAGTCCAATAATTTCTACTTGGTGTCTTCCATTGGAGTTGAGCTACAACCCCAATTGTCTTCCTATTAGTATGGCTTTGAAATCCAACATTTCTGAAAAGTGCTGGTTGGAGAAAGCTAGAATTTGCTTCAAGCCACCTTTCGACTAATATCATGGCAGATGCAAGTTTCAAAATGCTGATTTCCATCACCTAGGATAGATTTTTTTACCCTGAAAAATTACCTAAGGTTGTATAACAAACAACAACAAAAATTGCATTTTACAACTATTGGGGAAAGTTGGAACAGAAGATGCTGACTAAATACTTCCTTCATCTCTTTGCTATACATATCCTCTATGTGGGAAAGATCAGCCTTTCCCCCACCTTTGTTAAAACATCTCTTCACCACAGGCTGAAGAGAGCTGTCAGCCTCTTCCCTTGCCTTTCTTCTCCCCTCCTAGAACCACAGGAGGTGAAGAGGAGATTTAACTAAAAAGAAAACCTAAGAATCCCAAAGAGAATATCAAAAAATCTTTCTCCACCTATATGTAATATATCTCTCCACTGATCCCATCTCCTGTCTCCTGGAAAAGACATATATCCCAGGGGTTTTTGGATGACAGCCATTGTTTATGTGCCCCCGCATGGGTGGGCCAGAGAAAAACAGTAAGCAGGGCATTTGCATTTTGGGAGCAGCAGTGTGGAGGGGGAGGGAGAAGGGGAGAGAAGACTTTGCATGTGCTCTGGCTGAAAATTGGATTCCACAATTTCAGGTAAAGTACTTTCAAACATAGTGCAAAGTTTGTGAGCAGCACTCTCCCTCCACCATCCCTGCTGAACTAAATGCCCTTTTACTGTGATTGTTACTGTGTGCTGTCAAGTTAACCCTGTCTTGGCAAGAATCTTGAAGAAGAGGTTTACCTTTACCTCTTTCTGGGACTGAGAGTGTGTGGCTTGCCTGAGGTCAACAGGTTTACATGGCTCTGTGGGGAGCTGAGCCCTGGTCTCCCAATATTCACAACCCTATGGCGTGATGTCTTCCTCATTTTACTGATGCTTCAGACTATTTTCATAAGGTTTAATCAGAATAGCCTAAGGATATGTCCTTGAATTGAGATGGAAGAACAAATAAATCCCAGTGTAAAGAAGCAGTTGCTTCTTCAAGATTTGTCCACATGCACTCTGATTTACAGAAAATGTGTATTAACATGTGCTTGTCTGTGGAAGCATATCAAAAGTATTCAGATGTTCGAAAACTGGTGTTTATGGACCAGTGCCTTAGATTCCTCTTAAAACAGTGGTTCTCAATCTGTGGGTCCCCAGATGTTTTGGCCTTCAACTCCCAGAAATCCTAACAGCTGGTAAACTGGCTGGGATTTCTGGGAGTTTTAGGCCAAAACACCTGGGGACCCACAGGTTGAGAACCACTGGCTTAAAAGCTCTGCACACGATCCCTACAATATTATTTTCTTATCATTTGAATGGATGAAATAATTCTGGTTACTGGCTAATAAAAGAAGGAAGGCTCAGGGATAGCTGAAGAAAATACATCATGCTTGTTGTTGTTCAATCATTCAGTCATTTCCAACTCTTCATGACCTCATGGACCAGCCCATGCCAGAACTTCCTGTCGGCCAGCACCACCCCCAGCTCCTTCAGAGTCAAGCTAGTCACTTCAAGAATACCATTCATCCATCCATCTTGCACTTGGTCAGCTCCTCTTCCTTTTTCCTTCCATTTTCCCCAGCATAATTGTCTTCTCTAAGCTTTCCTTTCTTCTCATGATGTGGCCAAAGTACATCATCTTTGCCTCTACTATCCTTCCCTCCAATGAGCAGTTAGGCTTTAATTCCTGAAGTATGGACTGGTTGGATCTTCTCACGCTCTAAGGCACTCTCAGAATTTGCTTCCAACACCACAGTTCAAAGGCATCTATCTTCCTTCGCTCAACCTTCCTTATGGTCCAGCTCACACATCCGTAGGTTGCTACAGGTAATACCATTGCTTTAACTATGCGGATCTTCGTTGCCAGTGTGATGTCTCTACTCTTCACTATTTTACCGGGATTGGTCATTGCTCTCCTCCCATGAAGTAAATGTCTTCTGATTTCCTGGCTGCAGTCTACGTCTGCAGTAATCTTTGCACCTAGAAATACAAAGTCTATCACTGCCTCCACGTTTTCTCCCTCTATTTGCCAGTTATCAATCAGTCCAGTTGCCAGAATCTTGGTTTTATTTTATGTTTAACTACAACCCAGCTTTTGCACTTTCTTCTTTCACCTTGATTAGAAGGCTTCTCTGCTTCTCCTCACTTTTGGCCACCAAATTATACATCATGCTGTAATTAATTCCCATTTTGCTCTAGGTTCCTTGTTTAAACAATCATTGTTACCACAGCTCAGGAGAATCAATGACTGTTTTATATTGAACTTTTTCTGCACTTTCAGTTTCATGATAAATCAGTGCTGTGGAGAGCTCCCATGTATTGGTGCCCTTCTGCATGCTCACCACTTCCTTTCTTGCTGCTGACTGCCTTAGCCTTGCCAGATATCTAGTGACATCTGGCTAGGGATGAGGGACACAGTGGTTCCTGTCTGGTATTTTCCTCTCCCCAGCTGCTACATTAATGTCTTTAAGCTGCCTGCACTCAGAAAGGAACCCCTTCTAGGAGGAATGTCTCCCCAACTCAAGAAACACCTCTTAGATTTGTCTTTCTTGTTTCCAATTCTGAAAATTCTTCCCTGGATCACATATTTGTTCATAAAGCTATCAGAATTTACTTGGGCTACTGTAATGAGAGTGTAGATCTCTTCCCACATTTCCTGGGCTTGCCTGCCCCATAATCCCTTCAGTTCCAAGCCTATTGTCAACCCAGCACAAAGGAGCTAGCCAGCCAAGGCCTCTTTGTCCCCGGCCAAGGGTCGGTTGGAGCTCCCGATTTGCTCTGCATACTTGTCACAGTCTTACCCCCATTGTATGTGGGGGGAGGGGGCATGGTTGGCTTGCCAAGTGCTGACAGTCTATAATGAATCAGCCCAAGAGAGCAATATTGAGCTGCGGGATCACTGGGGAACAGAAGGCCTGGCTTGCTTAGATGAGGAGTGCATTTTCTAGCCCCGATAAGCAGCAGTGGCCATGGCTGAGTAGCCTATCATTCCCTATCAAAGGCAGGACTGGCTGCTTCAGTAATGCAGCTGTCGGTTCAATTCTGGGGACAGGGAGTGGGGAGGGAATCTTTTGTGGGTGGCTTATAACTGATTGGGAGTATCGCTGCAGAAATCTGGATCAAAAGCGTGAATGGTTGACCACAGTATGAGCTATTGAGATTTTATGCCCTAAAATCAGTGATAATTCCAAGGTGGACTTGCGTGTGAGGCTGATGGAAAGTTTAGTGAGAGAAATACATCGAGAGGGAGGCAAAGCATAATGCTCTCAATGAAGACCTACTCTGTTAGTGTGCCTTAGCAATTTCCCTCCTCTATCTAGGCAGGCAATAGGTGCATTGGGCATATTCATGATGAGTTCACGTTCGTGGAAAAATAGTTCATTGGCAGTCAGAATTCCAGTGTTAGGGAAGGTGACATTGTTCCATTATGCAGTTTCCAAGAGGAAGGATGGGATCATGGACCACCTGTTAGGCATTTGATCAGAAACATTTATATTCCGTGTTTCTTTTTCCACTTCACTCTCCATTCCTCATCTAATGACAGGAAGCTCTGCTGCATGATCCAAGCATCCAGACTAGTTTCATTAGAGCAGTGGTTCTCAACCTTTGAGTCCCCAGGTATTTTGGCCTTCAACTCCCAGAAATCCTAACAGTTGTTAAACTGCTTGGGATTTCTGTGTGTTGCAGGCCAAACCATCTGGGAACCCACAGGTTGAGAAGCACTGTATTACATCTATAGCCGGCACCCTCAGAACCTCACAATCTCTGAGGATGCCTGCCATAGATGTGCACAAAACGTCAGGAGAGAATGTTTCTGAAACATGGCCATATAGCCTGGAAAACTCATAGCAAGCCAACTTCTTTATTCTTTCTTACTATCTCAATATTTTACTTAATTTTCTTTTGACGATCTTTTCCAACAGACATAGTGTGTATTTTTGTGGGAGTGGAAAGTTAGCTGGGCATATGCTTGTGGATGTGCGGGCACTAAAATGTCCAGTTTACTCACAGTTTGGCCATCTCAGTCTGTAAGCGGCTGCAGTATACGTGGATGGGGACAAGTAGGCCATGGTAACTAGCCTGGTGAACAGAAATGAAGTTAAATCATCACCACCTTCTGATTGGCGGTTGATTGTGAAGATGATTGTTATTGCTCTCACTAGTTTAGCTGTTATACTAAAAGGTAAATTCTTGGCACAAAATAGGTACAATTGCTTGTCTCAGCTAGAGTAGAGCCACTGAGTCATTGAGTTATGTAAGTGTTGACTTATCATTCATCATGGTAACTAGCAATAAGATTCAGGCTTTGGCAATTTGCTGTATCAATGCCACATATAAAAAGTAGCATGCAGTTAGCTCTAACTCCCATTATATTAATATATAATCCAGGTATGGGTCAACCCAGATACAGCCCCTTGGCCTCTTTTCTCAGGTCCTCCTCTCTCTCATCATCCTATTCTTCTCTCTTTCCTTCCTTCCCTCTTTTTCCTCCCCTTCCACCCTTTTGTCCTTCCTATTTCCTACCTCCTTCCCTCCCTCCAGCCCACCCTCCCTCCAGCCCACCCTCCCTTCCTTACCCCCTCTTTCTCCCTCCTTCCTTTCTTTCCACCCTTTCGTCCTTCCTTCCCCCTCTCCCTCTTTCTCCTTCCTTTCCTTTCCTTTCCTTTCCTTTTGTCTTTCCTTCCTTCTCTTTGCTTTATCCTTCCCTCCTTCCTTCCTTCCCTCCTTCTTTACCTCCCTTTCATCTTTCTTTCCCTTCCACCCTTTCATCCTTCTTTCCCTTTCGTCCTTCCTTCCTTACCTCTTTCCTCCCTCCTTCTCTTGCTCCCTTTTTCTTCTTCCACCCTTCTCTTCCTCCCTTTCATCCTTCTTTCCTTTTCTCTTTCCTTCCTCCTTCCTTTCATCACCAGGCAGCCAGTCCACCTAGCAGGGGGTGGCAGCATGCGGTCTCTAAGTTAGAAAGTTTGCCCAGACCTGATATAAACTATGTACTCTTTGAATGCATTTTTCCTTCTAGCCACCTCATGGTGTGGAACAGAGAATGAGCAGCCATGATAACAAGTGATCTTATTGTAGAAGATTAAAAGAAAACCAAGAGTGCCTTGATCAGTAAGAGTATCTTTGCATGTCTTCACTTTGAAAGTGTCCTTCATCACCCAGCTGGACATTTTTTTTAGATATGGATGGATCTGTTTGCTGCCAATATTTGGTTGTTTGACCTGAATTAGCTGTGACTCCAATATTCCTTTACTTGTTTCTGGTGCTTCTGGGATTCTTCTCTGCACTTGTAGATTTCTTAGGTTAGCTCAGGTGCACTTTTTTTCTAGACACAGAACTCATCTGTGATTTGAGATTTTTTCTTCTGAAGTCTGCAAAGTGTCATTCTTGGATTTTCATTTTGAAACACAGTGATCAAATCCTTGTAATTCTGTGTAGCCATCTATCATCAGGCAGCACTTGCCATTAGAAATCCCCCTTGCTGGCATCCTTACTGAATTATGTGGTGAAGCTTGCTAGAGCTTTCCATTGACAGCAATGGGATTGCTTTTGTATGCTCAGCCTCAGCACTTACTCCTGCTCTTGTTCCTGGCTTTATTTACACACACAGCCACATGCAGCCAAAATTAATGAATGGAGGCTTGAGTTGGGGGAAGGGTGCCAGGATGAGTCACAGCTGAGCCCAGCCTCCTTGGGTGCTCCTTTGTGTGGGGGAACTGCACACCTAATTGCAAAGGAATGCCTTTGTGAAGCTCTGCCTACTTGCTGGAGGGAATCACAGCGGCTTAGCAACTATCCACAGAGCTGGAGTGACTTCACACTGGGACAAATTTCCTTCTCAGAAAGTTCATATAGGAAATTGTGCAAATGCCATGTGTTTGCCCCATATTGCTCTACTGTACAGGTACAATTGAGTAAGCTAGACCAGGACTTGGGAGATCCCAAGTTCAAGTTTCTCCTGAGCCATGAAAGTTACTGGGAGATTCTGGATCATTTTATTCTCTTAGTTGTTTATTCTCTTAGTTGTTATTTGGTTACTGTGAGTTTTCCAGGCTGCAATTGTCCAGCTTGACTAGCATTAAATAGCCTAGCAGCTTCAAATCCTGGCTGCTTCCTGCCTGGGGAAATCCTTCATTGGGAGGTGTTAACTGGCCCTGATTGTTTATTGTCTGGAATTTCCCTGTTTTTGAGTGTTGTTCTTGAACCAGTCCTACAGAATTAGCTGTTTGAGGGCAAAAATTGCAAAGAAGGAAAACGCCAGTGCAAAGTTGCCTTCTGCCTGGTTATTTTCCCTCTCTTTTAGACACTACAGTGAACAAAGTAACATTACCAAGCTCCAGTCAGAATTAAGTGAGAAGGAAAGCTATGTATACTCTTGTAAACTCAAGAAAGGTGGTGCTATAAATGCAACAAATATATAAATAGATGCAACAAGAAACCACAGTATCTCGACCCTCTTGTTTCTGATACAGAACACATACCATTCAGTAGTCGCCATCTGCTTGCCAACAGAAAACCATATTTAATAATCTAGAGCCATGGACCTTATTTTAGGTCTCGTGGCTCACCGGTGGGTCACGGCCCACAGGTTGGGATCCACTGCTGTAGGCTATATTTCAGAGGAAAAGACTGACAAAAACTAGTTTTGAATATTTCTTGCCTAAGAAAATGCTACCAACTTCATATGTTCTCCATAAATAGATAGGCAGCTTGAAGGTGCACACATACACACACGCTTTTGATATCCAAAGACACAGTTTATTATATATTTAAAGCCCTAAATAATTAAGGCCCAGACTATTTGACCAACCACATCTCTGCATATGAGCCTTCTCAGGCATTGCGATCGGCTGATGAGGCCCTATTCTTGGTCCAACCGTCTCAAGCATGGCTGATGGAAAGGAGAGAAAGGGCCTTTTCTGTGGTCACCTTTCACCTATAGAATTCCCTCCCAAAGGAGATCAAAATGGGCCCCTCCTTGCTCTTTTTAAAAAAACAATTAAAAACATAATTATGCGCCCAAGCATATAGAGAGGAGGACTTATAAAAACATCTGGCAAAAGCATAAGATGTTATCACCTGTTTCCGATAGTTTACTGTTTTCCTGCACTTTGTGGCATTGAATGTGTTGTAAACCACCCTGAGAGATGGGCGGGATAGAAATAAATTATTATTATTATTATTATCCTATATGTTAAGTTCTTTGCGTGACTGAGGGAATTTGAAAGGTTCCCCTCTTCTAAAATCCTGCTCCTCCCATACTTTTTCTATGAGTGCACTAGATGATTGAGTTTTATTGGATCCACTCAATCAACATAACACACTATTTTCCATTTTCCATTCTTGCTGTGAATGTCTAGAGATAATATTGAGAGATGTTAGAATTCATCATTTTTCTTCTCTTGAACAGGTTTGCCACCAAAGAACGGGATGGGCTTCTTCTCTACAATGGGCGCTTCAATGAGCGGCATGATTTTGTGGCACTGGAGATTGTGCAGGAGCAAGTCCAGCTTACCTTCTCTGCAGGTATGGTAGATCTCCACCCTATCATTGCTCTAGTAATTCACATCCCTCCCCTTTTGTTCCTAATAACCCTGTCTCGAGTTCTGGCAATGCAGCAGGGACACTTTTCTGTATTCCACCAGTGCAGTGGTTCTCAATCTTTGGTCCTCCAGGTGTTTTGGACTTCAGCTGGTAAGATGGCTGGGACTTCTGGGAGTTGAAGCTCCAAACACCTGGAGGACCAAAGGCTGGTAATTACTGAACCAGTTGGACCTGCATAAAGTAAGAGGAGGCAGAAGAGGATCTTGGCAGCCCTGGTGCCTTTGGAGGTCTGATTGGCACCAGCTATGATTTCTTTCCTAATGTCTTTTCATTAAAAACTTTCAGAACTATTTGTTTCAAGTAAATACCCTATAGCAGTGTTTCACAAACCCGGCTCCTCTAGATGTTTTGGACTTCAGCTCCCATAATTCCTAACAGCTGGTAAAATGGCTGGGATTCTTAGGAGCTGAAGTCAAAATACCTGGAGGAGCAGAGTTTGATAAATGCTCCAGATTGCATTTGGTCTTAGAAGCTAAGTAGGGTGAGCTCTGGTTAGTATTTGGATGGGAGGCCACCAACGAATACCAGGTGATGTGGGCTATATTTCAGAGGAAGGAATTGGCAAAACTATCTGTAAAATTCTTTGCCTATGAAAGCCCTATGAAATTCATGGGGTTGCCATAAGTCAGCAGATTATTTGAAGGCATATATAAGTGCACACACACGTACATGGTTTGATTATTTTTTTTTTGCAGTTTTTAGGGTGGTTCTAACTGTTCCTTTCTGTAATGTGTTTTCATCTCATTCAGATTATGTATGGTTTCAATCTGGAAATGTTTTACATTGTTTATTTTGTTCACCTTTCTGAGATCCTGTGATAAAGGGCAGGATTTGAACAAACAAAACAAACAAACATCCACCCGTCTTCTCACTAGGGCTCCTAATTCCTAATCTGTCATTCCTGAATCCAGCCATTCCCATAGCACCTTCCTTGCATGCTGTACTTGCCCCAATTCGACAAGTATCACAAGTGTATAACAGTATGTGCCTCCTAGATAACGTTGAGCAGCCACTCTCAAGACTTTCATTCTTGGCCGTGTGAGCCAGGGTTGCTGGAAATTGCAACTTAGCACCAGGGGGAGGGGGTATGTGTGTGTTCAAATACAAGCTCTTGGGAGACTCAGTGATATGATCAATCCTCCCCTCCTCAGTTTTCCCCTCCTCTATTTCATGTTTCCCTCAGGAGAGTCAACGAGTACAGTAGCTCCATTCATCCCAGGGGGTGTGAGCGATGGGCAATGGCATACGGTCCACCTGCATTACTATAATAAGGTAAGGCCATATTCACCCATGTGCCTGCTTGGGCAATTTCCTTTGATTCTGTTGCCATCAGAGGCATATTTGGTGGGGACAGGAGATGGGTCCCTATCGGTGGTTGCTCCCATGCTGTAGAAAGCCCCTTTGAGAGCAACTTGTCCTTTCTGGTAGATAGGCTTTCAGGAATTGAATAGTGACCAAAGAAGTAGTTTTTAGGTGTCATGTAAGTGGCCTTTTAACCAATGTGTTTTTAAAACCACTTTCTAATTCAGTATTCTAACGTTAGGATTTATTCCATATAAATCCTGCTTTTAAACTTGTGTGCCAATGGAATCCAGATGTGGGTAGAAAAGTAGTCTATGAGGGTAGCTAATGTACCCAAAGCTTAAACAATCCATGTAACATCATTGAAGAACTCTGCTTCTTTTGCCCTAGTTCTTCCTACCAGTACCCCCAAAATGCAGTGTCCCTAATTGGTGGTTTCAGTTGTTACCTCTTGGAATCTGCTTCTGCAGAAGACGGTGAGAGTAAGTTCTGGGACCATGACAGGCTGGTGGGTGTCTTTGATCCTGGGTGGTCACTACCTTCTCCTGTTATCTCCGAACGCCTGGTCTCTCTTGGCTTTTGCTGATTCCAGCCATTAGCATTCATAGGGCTCTAAATGCAGGGATTTGAGGGTTTGGTGGTCCCAGCACAGTGAGGTCCCAAGAAGCCACTCTCTTAATGAGGCAGCCGCTGACAGGGGGCAGGAGGAGGTGAGCAGCTGGTGCAATTGTCACAAACAGCTGCCTGCTTTACTTAATAAGCTTGGGTCTGAAAAGAGCTGCCCAGGGGAATGGACTGCCACAGGGAGCAAGAGAGGGGGCTGCGAAGGGAGGAATGGGGGGTCTTACCGATGTGAGGTGGCAGAGGTGGCAGAATTGAAGATTACAAGGCAGTAAGAGAAGCCGGATTTCAGGGGTCTAAGGCTCCACAGCAGGGAGGATGCAGGAGGAGGGAGCGGGGAGCTGTTCCCTGGCGTGCCCACTTGCTGTGTCCTTGTGTTTGCCTGGTCCTCATTCTCCCAGGGAGTTAGCATACATTTTGTAGGCTCAGTAGGCTTCCCATTCTGTTTTTCAAAAAGGCATCATGCTGAATCAGAGCGACAAGCAGCCAGAGGGAGCTTAGCAGAGAGAGACCTTGCTTGAGCATGAGGGTCTAGACCTGGAATCAAGTTGCTGAATAAAGTGCCCTGACTATAAGCAGGCCTGCTTGATGGTGTGGTTACTTTTCCTGCAATGTCCTATGGGTCAGTACTATATTTGAGCCCTTGGACCAGTAGTTCTCAGCCTGTGGGTCCCCAGATGTTTTGGCCTTCAGCTCCCAGAAATCCAAACAGCTGGTAAACTGGCTGGGATTTCTGGGAGTTGTAATCCAAAACACCTGGGGACCCACAGGTTGAGAACCACTGCCTTGGACTATACCTGTTTCTTTCTTTTTGGAAGTGTTCTGGGGGCCAACAGCTCATAGCTTGCTGATCTGCACTGGGCCATGAACTACCACTTTGAGTAGCACTGGTTTATCATGAAGAGGTTGCACACAATTGTGACCACCAGAAACTTTGCAGAAACTCCTAGCACACAGATTAAATTCAGATAACCACATCACATGCTTAATAAGTATTTCCTATTGTCATGGTAGTGGATAACAACTTCCCTTGTTATCTTTTGTTCCTTTAAGTTGCTTTCATCTTCTTCGGCAAGTATATCCACTCCTTTCCCTGTCAATCAGAAGTAGTTAATGAATAGTACCAAGACAGTCTTAGTGCAGAACAGTTTTACTGGAGCCTTCTGATGGAGTCCGGCTGCATGCTTCCACTTGACAGACCTTTGGTAGGGTTGGGGTGTTGGCCTTCCCACTCCTGGGAATATTTCTGAACACAGGCGTCACTCCCAATGAGTTGGATCGCCTGCGGGAGCTTCACCCCAGCACACTGCCTCCGCGCCAGCAGTTACTCCTTGCTCTCTACTGTGGAAGACTGCCAGCTCCTCAGTGTTGGCAACCAATGCCATACACTACAGAGTGCTTCCAGCTTTAGAGCTTCCTGTCCAATTTTGAAGGTTGAGATCCACAAGTACAGTGTGCACAAAGAAGCAGGGGAAGGGGATCAAGGACACTTCCAGTGGATAGCTTACTCTTGAAGAGTTGTAACTGGTGTAGCTTGTCAAAGGAAAGTCTTTGGTGCCCTGGAGTAAAAAAACCTGGGCCAGAGGAAAGGTGTGGTGCCACTACTGTTCCACAGCTTTTTATTATTCTCTGTCACACCCACATGAAGCTATTACTCAGGTTCATTTGTGGAAATATACCTCTGGCCTTTCTTGTCTTTTCTAATGCAACTCAAACAAAAGCCGAACTTTCTAATTAAGATGATGAGGGTTGTAAGGCTAGCTATTCAGTCCAGAACAGGTTTTTTTTTTTAATCTAATACCAGGGAAATGGGGAAGGTGTATACTTGGCCTCTTTCCTCATTAGGCAGTTGTGCTGTCCTTGGCTGATTATGTTGGGTGAAAATAAATACACACTGACTTTCATTAAAACTCTCTAGTGATTTGGGGCTTCTTCTATGGTTGAGAAACTGCTGACAGAAGTGTTATTTCTGATATGTGAGAGGGTGACTTAACTTATCACCTTCTAGCCACAGAGTGTATCCGCAGGGGATACATTCACAAACTTTGCATGGATGTGTGAAACTACAGATTATAGCAGAACCTATTGAAATGAAGGACTTCACACTCAACAATATCATAGACTTACACTGAAGACCTAGAACATATGTTGAGACAACATATTTTGTTGGAAATAGATACACGAAACCTCCAATATTGATCCTGTGTATATTTATTTTATTTACAACATGTCTAGCCTGCCCTTCTCAACCCCCAAGGGGGGACTCAGAGTGGCTAACACTGGCAACAATCCAATACCGCAAATATCACAATAAACAATATAAAACCATAAATACACAGTAGATTAAAACAATAGCATTAGTTATAAAATCATATAGACTTTTCCATTATTATAACAATCATATGGTCCAGTTCAATGTCCAAAGTGCCATTATGCCTGCTAGCCAAAGGCCTGGTTCCACAACCATGATTTCAGTTCTTTCCTAAAGGAAAGGAGGGAGGACACCAATCTTATCTCGCTGGGGAGCGGGTTCCACAAGTAGGGGGTCATCACCGAGAAGGACCTGTCCCTCATCCCCACCAGACGCGTTTGCAAGGCTGGTGGGACTGAGAGCAGGGCCTTCCTGGTGGATCTTAAACTACGAGGCATAACATATACAGAATTTGCACTGTATTAATCTCAGTCCAAGTGTGTGAAGGCCTAAGGAATCATTGATGTCATCTTAAATATCCTAACTGCAGAAACTAGGATAAGTTTTTTTTTTTCGTGTCAGGAGCGACTTGAGAAACTGCTAGTTGCATCTGGTGTGAGAGAATTGTCTGCAAGGATGTTGTACAGGAGATGCCAGGATGTTTTGATGTTTTACGATCCTTGTGGGAGGCTTCTCTCATGTCCCTGCATGGGGGAGCTGGAGCTGACAGAGGGAGCTCATCCGTGCTCTCTCCAGATTCGAACCTGTGACCTGTCGCTCTTCGGTCCTGCTGGCACAAGGGTTTAACTCACTGCGCCACTAGGATGAGTGGGAAATGAGGTCCTGTGCTTTCCTTCCTTCTCCTTTTATAAAGGGGTTGCTTCCTGTTTAGGGCAAGGGAAGTGCTGCCCCCCCCTCTCAAAAAGTGGGGAATATCTTGTTAGCCTTTGGCTAACCCAGCCCTTTCCCTTTTGCTCAAAACAAGCCTGCATTTTGGGGATTTCTCAATAAATGGACTATAGAATAAACATGGATATATCAGCAGCATGCACTGTTTACAGTGCCCTAGGCACATTGGCACATCTAACTTTGTTATATGGCTGGCTGAACTGAATTATCTGTGTGTTGATGAGAGGTAGGAAGGATAGATTCATAGGCCAGTTTATTCCTCTTTGACCTGCTGGAAAGAACCAATGGGCTGGAGGAACTGCAATTGAAAGCAGAACTGTTCATCTGATATTTAACGGCAGGTTATCCACTTTGAACCTAGGAAAGAGTTGAAGCATGTTCATGCTGCATGGCTGGAGAAATGTAAAAATTAATGTTCAGGATGTGACTGTTCTAAGCTAGCCTGGTGCTCTCCAGAGATGTTGAGCGACAATGGTTGTCATTTGATAGTAAATCCAGGTCAGGGTTGATGGGAATCATGATCAAACATGTCTAGAGAACAACAGCCTGAGAAGACAGGCTGAAACAAGAAAAGAGGATGCGTTCTTTAATGACTTCATTCATGGTGGGTTACCTGAGGACACATTGCATTAGATATTGCAGAAAGGGGGATGCTTTTCTCCTTGCACTTGGGTTTCAGTCTCAATCAAATATAGTTTTATCCCAAGAAGGTAGAAACCTCTTATCTAACTCCCTGAGGCAAGTGAGCAGCTTGAAGAAGACATTCTTCCCTACCACGAGAGCTTGTGTCATAGATGCATGTATATCCAGAATTTTGACCTATGAATTTCAACTTGGATTTAGTGGTGTGAATGAAGTCAATGTGTCTTCATCTTATGTTTATGTCTTTTAATATATATATGCTTTGATGGCCTCACATTTTATAGGTGTTTTTCACTGTGTAGTACTCTGTATTGGAAAGAGATGGGATACTACTACTACTAGTAGTAGCCCTCGGGGAGATTGGCCGGTTATAAATAAATTATTACTATTACTATTATTATTATTATTATTTTGCTGCAGTGGCACAGTGGGTTAAACCGCTGAACTGCTGAACTTGCTGACCAAAGGTTCGGCAGTTCAAATCCGGGGAGCAGGTGAGTTCTCACTATTAGCCCCAGCTTCTGCCAACCTAGCCATTCAAAAACATGTAAATGTGAGTAGATGAATAGGTACCACTCCGGTGGGAAGGTAACGGTGCTCCATGCAGTCATGCAAGCCACATGGCCTTGGAGGTGTCTATGGGCAATGCTGACTCTTCAGCATAGAAATTGAGATGAGCGCCAACCCCCAGAGTTGGACATGATGTCAGGTGAAAATGTCAGGTGAAAATCTTTACCTAATAATAATAACTGGAGTACAAAATATAGTAGTCTCTCAATTAACTGAAATTCCAAAGAAAACTGCAAAAAAAATTGAAGAAATGATACTTCAAATAAAAATAAAAATCAGTTATTTGCATAAATGTTAAATATTATGTTCAGTTTGTCTTTATTTGCTTTTAATTATTGTATTTCAATATCAAGTCAATATAGATTTTTTGGTGTGGCATTGTATAGGGTATAGTATTCGTTAGGCCTATTTTTAATCATAATTCTCAAGCAACCAAAATTACTTTTTTTGGCATCTACCAATTCCCATGGGTGCCGAGTATCTGTTGTGTGTCACTTTTGAATGACTTGGGTGTGCTCACTTGGTGGTTTTGGTCTAAAAGTGGGACCCCCCCCCCCATATTTTTTTCAGAAAGGTTTTGCAGGTGAGGGCAACAGTTTATATACATGCATGCCACTCAGTACTAAGGGTTATTTCACTCAGTGTATACTGAAAACAAACTTACTGTATTTAAAGTATTCCAGCTCTTGGGAGTTGCCCTTGATGTTTCTGGCACTGGAAGCAAGTGGGGGAAGATGTTATGCCCTAAACATGAAGCTGAGCTACTTCTCCTTTCCCTCCATCCGCCAACCCAATTTTGCTTTGCATGTTCTGTGGGAAGGAGCAGCAAAAAGGCTGGGGGAAGTTTTGGGCGGCTTGCCAGTCCCTTGGTGCCGTGCAGTGACCTGTTGCCATGGCCACTCCCTCCTCCCGCCTCCTTCTCCCCCAGCTCCCTTTCGTTCCCTTTGTCTGGAGCTGTCCTGTTTCCTCGCCATGGCCTTTGAATCCCTCTCCAAATTCTATAGTCCAGCCCTGCACAAAAAAAGGCACCAATGACCTGTGTTTTTCTTTGCCGGGCGTGGGGGCCCTTGGGTTGAACATAAGCCGAGTGGGCAAACACAAAGCGGGAGAGACAAGTCCAGAAGCTCAGGCTGTGTCACTTATAGGACCCCCTGGCAGATTTCAGTTTTTAAAGCAGCAGTCTTTCATATTTAATATTTGTAAAAGCTTAACTTACATAAATTATATATTTGATAGGGATCCAGCATGGCATAGTGGTTTGAGTGTTGGATTAGGATATTGGGAGACCAGGGTCTGAATCTCTGCTTCATCATGGAAACCCATGGGTGACCTTTGGCAAGTCTCTCAGAGTCAGAGGAAGGCAAGGCAAACCTCCCCTGTACAAATTCTGCCAAGAAGATCCATGATAGGTTTTCTTTCGGGTCTCAATAAGTTGGAAATGAATTGAAGTTGCACAGTAACAGTCTATTTGCAGAGAATTGTAGGAGCAATACATCCTGAAATTGATAAAAACAGTAGAGGATTCATTTGTTTTTTGTTTTGTTTGTTTTTTTGTCGTGTCAGGAGCAACCGCTCCTGTTGTGAGAGAATTGGCCGTCTGCAAGGACGTTGCCCAGGGGACGCCCAGATGATTTCTGATGTTTTGTCATCCTTGTGGGAGGTTTCTCTCTTGTCCCCGCATGAGGAGCTGGAGCCGATAGAGGGAGCTCATCCACCTCTCCCGGGATTCGAACCTGCGACATGTCGGTCTTCAGTCCTGCCAGCATAGTGCTTTAACCCACTGCGCCACCGGGGGCTCCTATTCATTTGTTATTTTTTAATACTTTGGTGATCCTGTGTTAGATTTTTAATTTGTTTATGGACCTACTAGCACACACCTCCCCTAAAACAGTTAAGCTTTGAAAACATGCTAGCCCAATTTTCCTTGTTGTGTACCTTCAAGTCATAGTGACACTAAGGCAGCATTTCTCAACCTGAGGGTCGAGACCCTGGGGGAGGGTCAGAGAGGTCACCAAAGACCATCAGAAAACACAGTATTTTCTGTTGGTTATGGGGGATACGTGTGGGAACTTTGCTCAATTCTATCATAGATGGGGTTCAGAATGCTCTTTGATTGTAGGCGAACTATAAATTCCAGCATCTACAACTCCCAAATGCCAAGGTCTGTTTTCCCCAAACTCTGCCAGTGTTCATATTTGGGCATATTGAGTATTTGTGTCTAGTTTGGTCCAGATCCAGCATTGCTTGAATCCACAGTGTTCTCTGGATGTAGGTGAACTCCAAAAATCAAGATCAATTCCCACCAAACCCTTCCAGTAGTTTTTGTTGGTCATGGAAGTTCTGTGTGCCAAGTTTGGATCAATTTTATCATTGGTAGAGTTCAGAATGCTCTTTTATTGTAAGTTAACTATAAATCCCAGCAACTACAACTCCCAAATGACAAAATCAGTGTCCCCCACTAACTCCACCAGTATTTAGATTTATGGGTCCAGTGAATGTAAATACATCCTACATATCAGATATTTACATTGCGATTCATGACAAAAGCAAAATTACAGTTATGAAGTAGCAATGAAAATCATTTTACGGTTGAGGGTCACCACAACATGAGAAATGTATTAAGGGGTTTCGGCATTAGGAAGGTTCAGAATCACTGCCCTAAGGAAACCTTCCATTGGGTTTTCTTGGCAGACTGTGTTCAGAAGGAGTTTGACTTGCCTTCCTCTGAGCCTGAGAAAATGTGACTTGCCAAAGGTCATCCAGTGGGATTCCATGACTGAATGGCTGAATCCCAGCTATTGCTTCTGGAGCACAGTGGGCAGCTGACTTCCCTCTATCCCTTATTTTCATCATGTTTCAGATTATTCAACCTTGAGGTCAAGATTTTTTAATTTTACTACAAGCCCCAATCTGTCCACCCCAGTTGTAAAATAAAACAAAATAAATGAAAATAAAATGAAAATAAAACAAAATAAATGAAAAATTTACTGCTTTAAGAGATAGCAATACATAAAGAAACAAGATGGCAAAGACCCTGTGTAAGATAGCATATCTGATGTCATTCTCTCATGGTGCTCTTCTTGAGAGGATACTGTGTGAGCATGCTGAATATATGTGTCGCATAGGTATTTTCTATGTATACGACAGATGAATGAAACAGAATTTAGCATCGTGGGAGTTTCAGGCTTATGTTTTTTAAAAACAAGATAGTCCTTTACCTTTATTGTTTCTGTGAGACTTGTGGAAACAGTTGGGTGGGCCTGCTGATAATTCAGTATTAGTCACTGTGTTAGTATCTTGGATCAATTTCTGTAGATCAGATTATTTAGTTCTCCTCAGGGGTGTATACACAATGTACAGTTTTATTGCAGATTCATTAATCCAGAACAAGTTTCAGCTCCTGGCTCTGTCATTACACTTGATAATGCTTATTAGAATTGCTTCTTCACACCAAAATGGTGAAGCAACAAGGAATTGCGAAGAAATTCTGCCCCTTTATCACACTACTGGTTAGGTACTCTACATCACAGAAGTGTGCAGTACTTCAGAAGTATCTGACTCTGATATTCCACTGACATCTTAGTAGCTTTCCCAGTGTTTAGCAGATGTGCAGTGTGCTTTAACTGATAAGCAGTAATTGTTTGGATGTTTGTTTGGTTGCATGCTGCAAGTCGCTTCTGGTGTGAGAGAATTAGTCATCTACAAAGACGTTGCCCAGGGGACACCTGGATGTGTTACTATCCTTTGGGGAGGCTACTCTCATGTCTCATATTTAACTTTGTGGTTTTTCTATACATTATAACTGTATTCTCATTGCACTTCTGTTACAATTAATATATGGTTTGGATGTCCTCCAGATTTTTTTGTATCATGCCAATAAAACTGGTTAAGAGTACATGCTAAAAGTAGATCTTCTAGGGATGGTCTGTGCTCTGAGCAGGGCAGCAGGATGTTGGGAAGTTGGATGTGGGATTTCCTTACATTTCCTTGTGGATGGTGTCCTGCTCTTCCTTCTTCCTTGCTTTATTGTGCTGCTTCGAGGTTGTTGTGCAGCCTTTAACTGGCTGCCTCAAGATGTTTGCAACCAGGTTCTGTTTTTTCTTTACAGCCTCTGATGGGAATGTCTGGAATTCCACAAGGGCCCTCTGAACAAAAAGTAGCTGTTGTGACAGTGGACGACTGCGACACATCAGTGGCCTTGAAATTTGGTTCTCTCCTAGGAAACTATTCTTGTTCAGCTCAAGGAATGCAGTCAGGCACCAAGAAGTGAGGATTTTGCATGTCCTATAAGTATACCTAATGAGCTTGTAGAAATGAATTAAAGAATAGACATGGGTTTAATCTGGTTCTGCATGGGATTATTGTCCCTTTGGGAAATGCTGTCATGATGATAGGTTGTGGAAAGAGTGCAGAAAGGGAAGGTAGAGCTCTCCCTCCAGGACCCTTTAACTCATAAGGGATCTATCATGGTGGGCGTGCAGTGTGTCACTGGGTGCTCCAATTTTTGCAGCAAGGAAAATGATAACTTGCTCACTTCTGCCATAAATCCATGACTAATATGAGCTTTTAACACTGATTTCCCCAGGAGTGTATAATATGCTGCTCTGTGGACAGCGCCATTTTTCACCATGGAGCTACTGTGCTGCTTAGTCTTCCTTTGCTACCTTATGCTATAGCAACCTTATATGCACAGAGACAGTTCTCCTTTACTAAAATCTCAACTCCCTATTCCTTCTTGTTTGGTTTTTCAATGTGCCCAACATCCCTAGTTATGTATAGCTTTGTTGCTTTCATTCAGTCTTAGCCTGAAGCACTGCTGTTGAACTCTCCACCCATTCTACTTAGGTCAGCAAAGTCTCCTGACCAGCCATTCTCTCTTTCATCCATGTCTCTCCTGAGTAATATTCATTTTGGCTTCCCAGGTCACTGGATCTGACTGGTCCACTGTTGCTAGGAGGAGTTCCTGACCTGCCTGAGAGCTTCCCGGTGCGGAACAGGCATTTTGTAGGCTGTATACGGGACTTCCTGATTGATAATCGAGAGGTGGACATGGCTGACTTCATTGCCAACAATGGGACTGTGCCTGGTATGTAGTTTGTGGCATAAGGTAAGGCTTTGGAGGGTTACCCTGATGGTGAGATTGTTTGGGATGGCCAAAAAAGATACCTAGAAATATGTACCACTTTTGTCATGGCATTAGCCATCAACAGTGCTTTGTGGTGCACCAGGTTTTTTTCAGAATGGACTTCAGAAGTGACCCCGCCTGTCATTGTTCTCATTAATCACTTCAGCCTGCAATCCTAGTCAGCAGGGAATCCTCTTCTGCTATTGTCCCTTTTAACACAATCTCATATTCTCCTTCTAGGCTGCTCAGCCAAGAAGAATGTTTGTGACAGCAACACATGCCACAATGGTGGCACCTGTGTCAACCAATGGAACACCTTCAGCTGTGAATGTCCCCTGGGATATGGAGGCAAAGACTGCAAGCAAGGTAAAGGACTGATACAACGAAAGAAGGATGACTTTGGAAGCTATGTGAAAGCTGTTTGAACATTGATTACCAGGGAAACTAGAGGAGTTAGTGGGAGGGTTTTTGATTACTCTTCCTTCTGAGAGTATTTTGAACAAGGTGTGGAATGTGAACAGATGATCTCTTGATGGCTCCCAGCTTCCTAAAGGGACATGCATTGGTTTGGGAGTATGTGATCTGAGAAGTGTTCGTTACCAGTTGGAAACACTGTATAAGGAGAGGAAACTTATCTTGCTTCAAGGGAGGGTATAAATGTATCCTTATTACTAGAAACCAGGAAGGAGTTAGGTGGAAAAATGCCTCAGAAAAGTTGGATATGGACTTGGTGTGGTTGTCCTAGGTGTGAGAGTGAGAGGTAGCTCACACATTCTTGCTAAGGCCTGGGAATGTAGGTAAACAGGAGCTATTATTTGCACAGCTGCAGAGTTCCCCCCAAATACCTTTATACTGTGTCTTTTAATAAGTAGTGTTCAGCCATCCAGTAAAAGCAGGCAAAGATCAAGGCAAAGATTGAAGGATGTGGGGTGAGAACCAAAAGCCCGACCCTTCTTTAGAGAGGTTGCCATTGTGTTATTCAAGTATTTGGTAGCAGGTGTATGTGTCTGCCTTCCAGTTGCATGTCAATGTATAGCAGTTCCACAAATTTAACAGGAACTTTAAAGGCAAAGAATAGATGTCGTTTGCCAGTTCATTCTTCCAAAATATAGCACCTGGTATTTATTGGCAGTTTCCCATCCAAGTACTAACCAGGATTGATCCTGCTTAGTGTCCAAGATCAGCTGGGATCTGATGCCTTAGGACATAATGCTAGTTTAGGTCCCATCTTTTAGTCCATTCCTTTCTTTCTTAATCTTTTTTGTTCTATGCTGTTCCAATCATCTACTAGAAGGGCCAGGGGATGGATTAATACAGAATGCCCATTCTTGCTTGTCCAGCTGTCTAAAGATGCACTCAATGGTTTCAAACTACAAGAAAGGAGATTCCATCTGAATATTAGGAAGAACTTCCTGACTGTGAGAGCTGTTCATCAGTGGAACTCTTTGCCCCAGAGTGTGGTGGAGGCTCCTTCTTTGGAGGCTTTTAAATACAGGGTTTTTTTTATAGCTTTGGTTACATTTTTTATCACCTGGAGTGCTTTCTATCACCCAAAGTGCTGAAGACTTGCATGTATTTTTGAAAAAAAAAAACACTGGGAATTTCAAGTACAACTTTATCTCAGGTACATGAACCAATAGCTGTTGTATTGCTATCTTCTAACATAGGTGTCTGGGAATCCATGTATCATTTATTCAAAGACAGAGTTAGTCTGGTTTGGTATGCAAAGGGGTCAGGTGGGACATTTGAAATTAGCTGAGAAATGGATTTGGTAGCACAAACTATTGCAGACTTAGGTCTGCTTCATTAGATACATGGAGTGAAGTGTGTATTTACAGGCCTTTATAGGTATGAATGGGTATGTTATCTGGGTGAGCAGCAATTAAAATACAAAATTTGTGACTATGGGGATGACGTGACAAGGGCAGTTTTAACAATGGTCATGACAGAAGCAAGGAAGAAAAGTATTGCCTGAATATTGCTACATTCGACTTACGTTATGGTAATATAGACACAATATTTGAGACTGCTATACTTTATTTGAGACTGCTATATTTGAGACTGCTATACTACTATATACTAATACTATATTAGTATATGTTGAGTAGGCCAGACTTTTGCTGACTTACCTTTTGTTTTCTCCACTGGAGAAATGGCAAGTCCACAGCGTTTCCTGGGCAACAGCAGGGTAACCTGGAGTAACCTGGCATTGGTCATTACACTTCCATGGCACGTTGGGCTCATGTTCCGCACAAGGCAGAGCAATGGCATCCTCCTGCATGCTGCAGCTGGTCAACATTCTATCATCACCCTTGGGGTAAGTTTCAAAATTGGGACAACATCCAACTATTATCCTATGGTGTAGTGGCCTTTCTTATGAAAATAGGAAGTGTAGAGATTAGGCACCATCTAGATGGAATATTCTTTTCTCATCCATGAAAGGCATAAGAAACCCATATCATATGTGGAAACTATAGAATTGATTCTGAACATTCCTCAAGCCTATTTTTCTGGGCATTATGGATGATGGCCCTTAAGAGAGGAGGGAGAACACTTCCTGGTTCTGCTCACTTTGTTCTTACTTCTTTTCTAGTTAAGTGAAGGGCATGTGCTGATGACTGTGTACCGTGCCAACAGCCAGGTCTCAGCACTCCGGCTGCATCAGGTGAAGGCGAATGATGGTGACTGGCACCACCTGAAGTTGGAGCTGCACAGCAGCAAGGACCACTTGGAAGCTCAGTGCTTAGCCTTAATGGCTTTTGACTATGGTCTACATCAGGTATGGTGAGCACTAGGACTCAGGAAGGCCAATACATAATTTAATCCATTGTTCGCTCCTTCTGGTCTTTTCCATATCCTCACCATGACCAATGTTGGGATTAATGGAAAATAAAATAATTTATGATGATGATCTGTATTGCCAACATTGTATTGCATCACTTCCCTCTTGAGCATCACTTCCCTCTTGAGCAGTTTTGACACTGGACTCCTTTCTTGGAAGCTTTTATTATGCGCCTATTAGCCCTCTGAGCATCCAGAGTCATCACCCTGTCCTTCCCTTCCTCTCCAGCCTTTATCTACACCGTTAGTTTCCTGGTTAATGCTCCAGCATTGGAACGTGGTGGCTTCATCAAGAAATGATGAGGCAGTGATTCCAAGTGGCTGCTTTGTCTGTCTTTCCTCCAGGTGATGGCTAACATCAGCAGTGAGCTCCATGGCCTGAAAGTGCGGAACCTAAGCATTGGTGCTGTGCCAGGAGAACATGGTCAGGTGCAGCAAGGCTTCCGTGGCTGCATGCAGGTAACTGGGGATGGGATTAGGCCTTAATGGGCTGTCTTGTTTGCAAGAAATGCTGCATCAAGATAGGTCAGCTATAGGCTTTGAGTTTACTGTGACCAGATGTTTCACCCAGAATATGCCTGGTGACATATTTTTCAGCGCAAATCTGATAGACATTGAGTGGAGCGGTTTGAATGATATTTTGAGCAAATTGTATGTATACCACACATCTTCTGAGAATCAATGTGTCTATTAGAATGTTTGTCAGGATTTTGGAATTCTTTTTTTAGCATACACTTGACCACAGAATAATTGTGCAGGGGAATAAACATTTATGTATGTAAATATATGCTCATGTGTGCATGCACATGTGTGTCCATGTGTTCTGGAGCCCCAACATCTATTATTGATGAATAATTTTATTGTGCTACAGCTCTATGTTGCATGGTTAAAACAGACATTTTAGTATATCATAGGTAAAGTTTGGAAACGGTAGTTTTTGGACTACAGCTGTCCATTCTGCCTGAGAGACTGAGAGAGCTGTAGTCTCAAAAAGGTCAATGTTCTAAGCTCTAGTTATAGCTTTTGTCTGTACTGCACATTTATCTCTTTCTCTTTGCATGGATCGAAAAGGAGGTGAGATAGATTTTTTGTATACACAGGAATATCAGTATGTATTACATAGTCCCATCTTTTTCTTTCTTTGTGCACTTACTCACACACTCCTCACTTGATGACACCATATCTACTTTGCCCACTATGCAGATGGATATGAGTTGGATGTGCAGTACCTCAGACAATATGTGCATTGGAAACACCTACATGTATTTTCAAATGCCAACTGAGACTTTACTTCTTCCAAATACCTTTATTTGAGGGACCATAGTGCCATCTAGGGGTTGACTTTCTCAGATGCGTCATGATTGGTTTTTTGCGTGCTTTGCTTCCCAGTCTCTCCCTGCTGTTTTTCTCATTATATAGTTATATTCTCCCTTTCTGCTGTTTAGTTCCTAAAAAGGAATCCATGTTGTGTTTGAACAGCAAATGTCATTCATCATGACTCAAAAACTGTGCTCTTTTGAGTGATGCAATCTGACCAGCTCTGTCTTTATCCTCAAGGGTGTAAGGATGGGTGAGACGTCGGCCAGTGCTGTGGCTCTGAATGTAAACCAAGCTGAGAAGGTGAATGTAGAGCATGGCTGCAGTATCCCTGACCCTTGTGACTCCAATCCCTGCCCTGTCAACAGTTACTGCAATGACGACTGGGATAGCTACTCTTGCAGTTGTGACCCAGGTCAGTATCAGGCAGGGGTGATGGTGGAAGAGTTTCTTCCCAAAGACTGCTAGAATGATTTCATTTTGGTGTCAGCACCATGCACTACATAAATAAATGACAACATTGTTGTTGATGGTGATGTCCTCCAAAGTTGCCTTCCCCAACCAACATCCTTCCTTTATCATGGCTGAGCTAGCTGGGAATGATGAGAAGTGTATTCTTGACATGTTAGGACAGCACTTGGGGAAAGGCTGCCCAAAGTTTGGCCTTGTGTAATGCAGTGGCAGTAGATTGGCTAGAATAACTGTGATACCTGCATATTACTTGTATAATAGGAGCTCCTGGTGGTGCAATAGGTTAAACCCTTGTGCCAGCAGGACTGCTGACCGAAAGGTCAGTGGTTCAAATCCAGGGAGTGGGGTGAGCTCCCATCTGTCAGCTTCAGCTGCTTATGTGGGGACATGAGAGAAGCCTCCCACAGGATGGTAAAACATTCAGGCATCCCCTGGACAACTTCCTTGCAGACAGCCAATTCTCTCACATCAGAAGTGACTTGCAGTTTCTCAAATTGCTCCTGACACACACACACACACACACACACACACACACTTGTATAATAACTGTGAATAAGGATAGATGTGATATCATTAGAGCAGTATTACACATGTATTGTATGATAATCTATTATCTTATAATTCATTTTTTAAAAATTGATAGTGTAGCATTTTAGCTAAAACTTTTTGCAGATACTATGTTTGATTATACTTTGTATTGTATTTTATTGGAATGTTCTATTTTTTTCTATACTTTGTTTTGATCTTATACCGATTATTCTAAGATAAAGTTGTGGCTTATAACATTCCTGAGTACCATCAGGAATAATAGTTTTTTTTCTTTGCTTACTAGTTAAATCATGGAAGATTCAGTCAAGCATCTTGTTCTTTCTTTCAACTTAGTCTGGTTTTTGATTCTCCATTTGCATCTAAATAAATGAGGACTTTATAACCAAGCATGCAAAAGGGTCAGGAATTCTGTGTAGTCCTTACTTAGGAGGAGTCCCATTCAGCTTTTCCTTTTCTCACCTATTCCTCTTCCAATCATTGCATTTTACTGTGGCTTAGGTGGATGATTCCCTCTTTCACCTCATCCACTTAAGGCCTCATGCTTTCTCTCAGTTTTATTCTTCCAAGATTTCTTTCTTTTCTGACTTAGGTTATTATGGAGACAACTGTGCCAACGTGTGCTCCCTTAACCCTTGTGAACATCAAGCTGTGTGTGCCCGCAAGCCCAGCTCATCCCATGGCTACACTTGTGAATGTCCTGAGAACTACTTTGGGCCCTACTGTGAGAACAAGTGAGTTACCTAATGCTACTATGTGAAGCCACATATTTCTGCATGGTTATTTACATGCATGCCTGATAAACTGCTCTTAAGTTCATGTCTTTGTAGGTAGAAGCTTGCATTACTTCGAAGCTTCTATCACTACTGGATACTTTTGTGTACTGTCCTCCTGCACAAGCATATAATGTAGCAATATTGCCTGCTAATTTATTTGCACTGTGATTGTAATAGGTGCTGTGATCTTTTTGTGACAGACTTGCTCAGCCCTGCCCACGTGGATGGTGGGGACACCCTATTTGTGGACCCTGTAATTGTGATGTCAGCAAAGGCTTTGACCCTGACTGCAACAAAACAAATGGAGAATGTCACTGCAAGGTGGGCTTATGATTTTTTGTTCCTGGATCAAGTTGATATTGCAGGCTGAGGTCTGTGGATAATGAAAAGGGGTGCAGAGGTATTGATCGGATGGCTAATCAGTGATATATAATGCTGTGCTCATATAGTTGTTGGCTTGGAGGAATGGTTTTTAAACTTCCTGACCTTAAGATTCTTTTCTATAATATTTGTAATTATACACTTGGTCATGGTAATGTGAAACATGTTCCAGTGCATGTTCACTGTGGGTATGGCTCTAGTCTTGCTGGATTTGAGGCATTGTCCTGCTTGAATTGGGAGATGATATTTTTCGAAATTATTCACCGTTTTGTGGGATTGTGGAAGACTAGTTGTGGTAGTCCAGTTGTCCTGCATAGAGACCTATCTACTGAAAGAGATCTTCTCATTGAAAAAAAATGATAAATTTACAATAAATTCCAGTGTTCCTTTAAATTCAATTTGAAAATGATTAATATAAGACAGTGGTTCTCAACCTTCTTTTAGACCAGGGACCACTTTGACCAGGGACCACTCTCCAACATTAATACCCAAAGGGTTACGAATCAGTTTTTGGTCAACTTTAGATTTGGTTATTCAGAGTGCTGATTCAGAAAATTGCATTGGATCTACCACATCAGCTCTAGTTTCTGATACAGAACATATGCCATTCAGTACTCGCCATCTGCTCGCCCACAGAAAACCATATTTAATAAGCCTCAGCACTATAACAGGGTTTTGCAAGATCAGTTGCTCTCGTAGCAACAGTGTAGTAATGGTGAGGCCATGGACCATATTTTAGTTCTTGCGGACCTCTGGTGGTCCACAGACCACAGGTTGGGTACCACTGGTATAAGAGGTAGAGATCTGGTATTCAGATACCTGCTCACTGAAGCTCATTGGCTGGCTCCCAGTGTTCCCATGTCACAGTGCCCATGATTTAGCATAATATGTATATATAAGCAACAACAAATAAAAACAAATCTGTTCTTTATCCTAGTATTCTTTATCCTGTTCTTTATTCCCATGCAGTTGGGTGAGATTCTGAAACTTTGCTTCTATTTTCAGTTACTATTTTTGTTATAGATGTTGGATTATAGAATTAATTTAATTTCTATCTGCCCTGTTGTCCAGACTTGGAATAGTGACTGGTATTAATTTGATAAGTTCCAAAAAGCCAGTTTCAGAAACCATGTTTTGAAGTTATATTATCTGAACACAACCTAGTTTAATTTTTACTTGCACTTTGTAATTCCAAATATTATGGTTAAGCAAAAGTGAATGCATCTGAACTTCTTCCAAATCTTGCAGAGAAGGGGAACATACACCAGGTTCATTACAGTTCATTCCTGTTCATGTGTATAATGCTAAACTATGGTTTAGTGTGGTGTATAAACACAGTCATATTCTATGTTAGCTTATGATAAGTCACAGAGTTGTTACAAGTGTGAGATAGATCAGAAAGAATTAGCTTTAATCATAATAGAGCCTGAAGAATGTGCGTCCTTAACAGAATGATTAACATGGGTATATGTATGGCCACTGTCTTGAGATGACTTCAGTGCTGAGATAGCCAGGAAAGTAATATTCCTCTCAACAATTTTTGTGAATGTTTCATTCCTGTTTCTTTGGACTTGTACATCTTTTTGTTGTTCTACAGGACAACCACTATCGACCATTGGGCAGTGCCATGTGTTTGCTCTGTGACTGTTATCCCACAGGCTCACTGTCCCGTACTTGTGAACCTGAGACTGGACTGTGTTCCTGCAAGCCTGGTGTCATTGGACGCCGCTGTGATCGCTGTGACAACCCATTTGCAGAAGTCACTGTTAATGGCTGTGAAGGTCAGTAGTGTTTCCTTGGGCACAGAGTAGAGTTGGGGTTTCATTACCAAGCTTAGCCGAGGATGAACAGTTGGAGGCCACAGAACTCAAGGCAAGAAAGGGCTGATGAGGTAAAATCACAGACTTTGTCTCTGGCTGAATAGATGAGGTAAATATCAGGGTTTTTGTCATACTGCTATGCCCAGGGGTTATCCAGAGCTCCATGGAGATGGGAGGGTGACATGGGCTTGATTCATCCCATTTCCTCCACAATGCAGAATGCAGGGGAAAAGGGATGGTAGCTGTGGGCCATGTGGACCAATTCAGATTAGAGCTGGTCTAGCTGTTCATACTAACCCTGAAGTGCAGGGCTCCTCCAACGTTTCATCAAAGCTCTTTGAACATTTCTTGACTCCCCCAACTGGTTTTACCCCATATTATGAACCATAAGTCTCTAGACATCCTCTGAATGTCCAAGAGCAATTTCTGTTCAAACTTAGAGTTTTGGACCAGTGGAGAGAGGCCCTCAATAACTGATATAAGATTTCATAATTTCTATTTTTCTTTTCTACTGAGATGCTGAAAGCAAGACAGTGCAATGCAGTTAAGTAGTTAATGATTCAAAGCAGTACCAAGCAACACTGTCAAAAGCAATTAATAGTGTAAAACTGTTTGAAACAGATAGTAGCTTAACACTGCAAGCTTGGAATCAGGTGCCTGTTTTCTAAATCATCGAGGAGTCCTTCTTGCCTATAGCAGAGGTAATGTGTTTGAGGAAATAGTCCAATGGCACATTAAAGACAAATTTATTATAATAGGCACTTTCATGGCATTTCTTAAAGCATTTTAGTTAACAAGCTATACAGTGATAATATATATTCATAAACTGTCTGTTTTGCTTTGCAGTGAATTATGATAGCTGTCCACGTGCCATTGAAGCTAACATTTGGTGGCCACGCACCCGCTTTGGCTTGCCTGCAGCTGCATCTTGTCCAAGAGGATCTGTTGGTAATGAACCACCTTTGAGATTCTGGTTACATACACATCATCTCTTCAATGATTGCATTGATTTTGTGTGAACAGAGCCTTGTTTTTGTGAATTCTTGACACCAAAGAGATTTATATCACTATCTCATGTACTGTATGCTTCTCTAAAAGCAAAAACTACCCGTATTTTCTTGGGTCTAATGCGCCATTCAATCTAATGTGCATCTCAATTTTCAAAACCCTGAAACCCAAAAAAGTATTTATCATATTACATGAATGTAATGCACACTCTCATTTTGGGAAGGTAATTTAGTCAAAAAAGATTTGAGTAAATACAGTATATCATTAGCCTACAAAGTGAGTTTCAGAAATAATAGAAACAATACGTATTAACAAAAAGCAACAGTCAATCTGGTGGCACAATCTGGTGACATATCTTTTCAAGTGACTCTTTTCTTCTGTCAACCTCCAGGTACTGCTGTACGGCACTGTGATGAACACAAGGGCTGGATGGCACCCAACTTGTTCAACTGCACCTCTCTGACTTTTGCTCCCCTCAAAGGCTTTGTAAGTGCTTTCCTCTCATCTTCTGCTTTACTCAAAACCAAGCCAGAAATGGTTTTAAGCATATATTTGTGTTGGTGTCAAGCAGGTCACAATCTCTATTAGTTTACAAAAATTATCAAAATAGTGCTTTTGTTTCATTGATCTCAAGATCCATTCATATGCTCTCTGGGATCATCTGGTGAACCAATAACTGTCCCTTGGCTATAGGATGAAGATGAGATGTTGAAAACTTTGCAGCTGTTTCTCTGGCCCTGTATTCACAATATTCACTATAAGGTCAGATGGAAGGATAGCAGTTTTCTTATTGTGTGCATTAACACTGTAGAACAAATGCAGTTTGACACCGCTTTAATTGCCATAGCTCAATGCAATGGTATCATAGCAATTGCAGTTTTACAAGTTGTTTAGCCTTATTTGCCAGAAAGTGTTGGTGCCTCACCAAACTACAGTTCTCCGAATTCCATAGCATGAAACCATGGGAGTTAAAGTGATGTAAATCTGCATTATTTCTACAATGTGGATGCATCCATTGCCCCTTCAAGCCATTGACTGGATGGATCATATTCATTAGATAGTGGCACAAATTGTTCTGATTGATGATGAAATGTTTTTAAATTGTTTAATTGTTTATGGTTTTATAACATCAATTTACAGTGCATTGTTTTTGCTTTGATACTAGCCAGATCATTATATGATCATCAGAAATACACACGCACACACAGAGACACAAAATGTGTACCAACTTCGTTTCTCAGTCCCTAAAAACATATATTTAGATTTTGTTATATTAATTTTATCACATTTCCCACCAGGTTGTGGAAATACTGAGTGGCTAACAGGATCATTTGTAGTTGGCATTAACATGCAAATAATTATGTGAACTGGGCAATGGTAAATATATTCTGTCATATTACAAGTATTTTTCAACTACAAATTTAAACTGCACATTCACAACTTTTGTGCAGATTCTTAGCTCTAGTGAGAGGCCATACAAGGCACTAATGCCTTGCATTCTGACCACTATGTGGTAGCTATACTCAGCCTTTTACAGTTCAGGAGGTTTATCAAGCCATTACCTTGCATTTCAGACTTTATCATTTAGTTATAAAGACTAGAAATTGGCGAGTGGATATATTCTGTTATTAGCTCTAAATTCTATGCTTTCATGTTTCATCTATAATAGCACAGAACCAGGATGTAAGAAGTCAGCGTGGTTATGATCAATGCTATTTCACAGCAAGGGTCTGAAGATAGTACTTGATTAGTGATTCTGTTCTAAGTGTCTGGTAGTGAATGTCTTTGTCCTGCTTGCGGAGTAGGCAGAAAAGCTGTTGCGGAATGAATCAATTCTGGATACAGAACAATCTCAGCGAGTGGCTCTCCTGCTTCGCAATGCTACACAGAACACAGCCAGATTCTTTGGTAGTGACATCAAGGTGGCTTATCAGCTCTCAGCGCAACTCCTCAAACATGAGAGCACCCAAGAAGGCTTTGGCTTGGCAGCTACGCAGGACGTGCACTTCACTGAGGTATATCCCTAGGCTGAAATTCACATGGCGTCATTGCATGTTGTGGTTTTCTTTCAAGTTGACTCCAGTTCATGGTGACCTAACAGACGGCTTTCTGGGAAATATTTATTTAGGAAAGGTTTGCCACTGTTGTCCTCGTAGGCTGAAAGAGTGTGACTTGCCCAAGGTCGCTTAGTTGGTTTCCATAGCTTATCAGGGATTCAAACTTTTCTCCCCTGGTGTCTTAGTCTAACAGCCATACCTCTACACCATATTGGCTATCACAAAGCCATGACAAAATAACAGCTATTCATGAAGGAAGCCGCTATCAAATTGGCACTAGAGCACAGAATAATTTATTGTTGTTGCAGTTTCATAGAGTTGTTGTAGTGGTACCTAGCTATCTAGTACAACATGGGACATCCAAAGCAAGTGGCAAAGCAGGAAAAAAAACCCATGGTAAATATTATGTTGTCATGTGTTAGGAAACTGTCCAGGGTTGTGCTTGTAAGATACTATGAGAGGAAGAAAGGAGGGAGGTTCAGGTCATCTTGAGTAGTATGGTTGCTGGCACCATTTGGATTTAGAGTAATCTGCATTTGTCTATGACAGGCATGGGCAAAATTTGGATCTCCAGGTGTTTTGGACTCCAACTCCCACAATTCCTAACAGCCCAAGGCCTTTTCCTCAAGGGAAAAGGAAAGGGCCTATGACTGTTAGGAATTGTGGGAGTTGGAGTCCAAAACATCTGGAGGGTTGAAGTTTGCCCATGTCTGGTTTATGACAACTGGATTTCATTATCAGGCTTGAGAATTCCCCGGGCTTAGAACTCAGCTAAGAGGAGCATCTACACCTAAATAAAGATAATGCTGTCAGTAGTACTAGACTCTCAAATACCATGAGTAAAGTAACTAAACTGATCTAAAGAGTCGCCGATTTAGGCTGAAAAATGCGGTATAGAAATAAAGCAAATAAATAAATAAAGAAATCCAGTAGTTATTCTGTCCCACTAGACAATTGCAATTGCTTGTCCTTGCTGTGAATCCTAAAGAGAACTCCCCATCCCATTGTGTTGCACTTGGGAGTAATGTCTACTTCCAATTGTTTCTCATTGCCCTTTTCCCCTTGTCCTGTAGAATCTACTCAAAGTTGGCAGTGCCCTTTTGGACAACAGCAACAAGCGTCACTGGGAACTGATTCAGCAGTCAGAGGGTGGCACGGCGCAGCTGCTAAAGCACTTTGAGGACTATGCCAGCACTCTGGCCCAGAACATGCGCAAGACGTACTTGAACCCCTTCACCATCATTACACCCAATATTGGTGAGAGAATAATTATCAGTACCTTCTTATTTAAAGATATCTTAGTTGTTAAATCGTTGCTTTTCATTAGTCAATCAAATGTTCATTTAATGTGAATAAAACAATACAGTGAGGCCTTGATATCTTCTTAGGTTTGGTTCCAGGGCTCATGTGGATACCAAAATACATGAATGCTAAGATTCTATTATATACAATGCCATAGTAAAATGATATCCCTAATATGAAATGGAAAAATTAAGGTTTGCTTGTTTTGGATATGTGTGTGTGTATATATATATAAGTAATTGATTATAAAATCATCAATATAGAGGGCCAACTGCACTGCTGAATGTTCAAAATATTCTGCCCCTTTCCTGGGAAAGCGAAAGATGTGAGGCAGAAAAGCTGGGAGTTGTAAGCTTGAATTCAATTGGTTTGTTGCCTAATGGAGATTATGTCCCTACCTATTCTTGATAGTTATTTCTGTTGTGAGACTGGAGAAGATGAACTTTGCTGGTGCAAAGCTACCTCACTATGAAGCACTCCGTGGCGAGAAGCCTGCAGATCTGGAAACTACAGTTATCCTGCCTGAAAGTGTCTTCAAGGCTTCAGAAGGCAAACGTGAGTTTGATGCTTTTGGTCAAAGTCCCTTGAAAAAGTAAATGGGCCTGAGAAGAGCAGACCATTTATCCAAGCCTTGCTTTCATGTTTGACCCTGGCTATGGACAGTTAGGAATCATTAACAAGCAAATAGGTAATTCTGAATTCTAGTATTGCTTTTCAGAATATCAAATGCTAAACTAATTTTCCTGCCCTCTTGCACTGAAGTCTTTATGCAGATCTGGTATATATTTAGCAATTTATCTTGCAAGGGATAGGACAGATTTCTTACATCAGTTGCAGATATATGCAGGAAAAAAGGTTATTTGGAGAGTTTGATTGTCACTGGCAGAATTTGTAGAAACAAATGCCAATGTTTGTGTAGCAGATGGTTGATTCAAATTAATACTGAATACCACAATTAGAGCCTAAGTAAACATATGCGTTTCTGATAAGCCTTCCTTGATAAAGGGACTTTCTTCCCTAATGTAAAGTAGCCGTTAGGAGGCTAAAACAGAAATTAAAGTACAAGTGTAGGGTGGTCTTATTTTAGTCTTTCTGATCCTGTTGTTTGGTATGTTTAAAATTCCACTTTCCTATGACTTTCTCTCCCCGTTATAACTTTCCACATGAGCAGAAAAGTGTCCAGGACATTTTAACTGGGCAAATTTCAGCCCTTCCCTGAATTTTCTGCTCTGAATTTTTTACTTGTCTGGGTGTTTCTTATTTAAAAACTTGGTAGAAAGCCAGATCATAGAATTTAATGAGGAATACAACAAGGAAATTAGAACAGAGGAGGCTGAATGCTAGGGACTGAGGAACTTTCAGGAGAGTCGGGGAGCATTTTTTTGCTTTCCTTAGCTTCAACTTGGTGCTAGATTAAGACTCAGATCCCAGGTCACCTTGTTGAAGATCATTAAAAAAGGTTGAAGTTCCAGTCTGCATGGGAGTAAGCTAAAGGCAGAGCTAGTAGCCCTACTAAGAAATCAGTCATAATCATGTTTGGGGCTTTGCTTCTCAGGGACTTAGAAAGAGGAAGGGAAATAGCATAACACAGAAGCAATACCAGACACAAATCTACGCTGGACATAAAGTCCATAAAAATCTCCTACAGTTGAGGGAACCAGAATTATGGTGACACTACTTTGGGGTTGTTCTGGAGAAAAGCATGGTATAAAACTGAAAATCAAAAATGCCTCTTGCAACTAAGTAAACACCTCCCTAAAAATAGATGATCTAGCCTGGTATGACTTGCTTCTGTGGAAGAGCAAAATTCAGCTCAGTGTCTCATGCTGATTTTTCAGACTCTTCTGTGCCCAATGCCAAGCATCTTCCTGGCTCTATTGACGAAGACGGACCTGCCCTGATGACAAGACAGAAGAGACATCCGGACCTGAGTGAGGGCCAGGCCATTGCCAGTGTGATCATCTACCGTACTCTGGCAGGTCTGCTTCCAGAGCAGTATGACACAGATAAGCGAAGCCTGAGGTAATATCCTCTCCTCTCTGACAAAACGGCACACACTCATCAGCAGAGGGCATAAGGACTTCTTAGATACCCTTAGAAAGAGATACCTAGCACCCCAAAGAGAGTAATAATAATAATAATAATAATAATAATAATAATAATAATAATAATAAATCTTTATTTATTACCCGCCTCTGTCTCCCCAAAGCGGACTCGGGGTGGCTAACTTGAGGCCAAGCCCAAAATAATACAACATAATTAGACACAATATTAAAAATGACATAATAAAATCAAACACAGAGGGCTGGCCAGATGTATGAGATAAAATGTTAAAAGCTTAAAACCCTGGGTGAGTTAGCGATAAAAAGTGCATTTATGAGAGAGGAGCCCAAGAGGGAGGAGCAATAGAGTTTGGCCTTTATAGGGAACAAGGGAAGGTACTTTATCGAGGGGACAACTGTAGGTGAAAATAGACAAATAGATTGAATGATCTCTCTCTGAAGGCACACCAGAAGAGCCAAGTTTTTAAAGCCTTCTTAAAGGCTGCTAGGGTATGGGGCTTGCCTGATCTCCCCAGGTAACGAGTTCCAAAGGCGGGAGCCACAGCGGAGAAGGCCCTCTCCCTCGTACTCACAAGTTGGGCTTGTGATAGTGGAAGGGGCAAGAGGAGGACCTCTCCAGAAGATCGAAGAGATCATGTAGGTTTGTGGTAGGAAATGCAGTCACAAAGGTAAATTCCTCTCCTATCCATGTCATGGTCCTATCTATATTGGCTGAAGGGATAAGATTTCATATCTTTGGAACCTTAACAACCTTTAAACAGTTTCTTGTCATCCTGTCTACCAAATAGGAGATCTCCACTGTTAAATAAGGCCAGGAACATGGTGATAACAACAATATTGTCTTTGTGTTTGTTGCTAGAAAACAATGGGGTGCAGACCTAAATAAGGCTGAACTATACACATAGAAGAAATAAGGATGTGATTTAATATGGATCATGTGTTCTCATAGAGTCCCCAAGCGCCCCATCATAAACACCCCGGTAGTGAGCATCAACATTCATGACAACGATGCATTGATGCAACGAGCCCTCGAGAAACCCATTACGGTGCAGTTTCGGCTGTTGGAAACTGAAGAGCGCACCAAGCCTATCTGTGTTTTCTGGAACCACTCCATTCTGTAAGTTTCCCATGCTGAATGACAAATCTGGAAGTTTATTTAAGCCAGTTGGGAAGGGAAATGCATTCAGTAGCTTTGTAATTCCAAATGAGTGGACACTGACTCTGTTGTTTTTATCAGCTTAAGTGGGACTGGTGGCTGGTCAGCTAAAGGCTGTGAGGTTGTCTTCAGGAATGAGACCCACGTCAGCTGCCAATGTAACCATATGACCAGCTTTGCTGTGCTGATGGACATTTCTCGCAGAGAGGTGAGTCAAGTAGGGACCCATTTCTAGGAAGTATGTGATTAGGTGATGGCGAAAGGGGAAAATGTAAAGAGGGGTCCGGGACTGTGGCAGAGGTTAGACTTTCATCCCACAGGGATGGAAGAATATGACATAAAGAGCTAAATTCATGTCTTCTGGGTGAGTCTACAAATAAACCTTCTCTTTCTATCAGAATGGTGAGATCTTGCCCTTGAAGACCATCACATATGCCTCCATTGCTGTGACCTTGGGTAGCCTTCTGCTCACTTTCCTCTTCCTGGCTGGCTTAAGAGTCCTGCGATCCAATCAACAAAGCATCCGCAAGAATCTTGTGGTTTCATTGTTTCTCTCTGAACTCGTTTTTCTTCTGGGCATCAATCAGGCTGACCTTCCGGTGAGTTTCAGGGGTAATGCTGATAGTAGTAGTGGTGATGATGGTGAAAGAATGGAAGTTTTAGGAGAAAGTTAGGAAATTTAGCTGAATAGATCCATATTATGAGGTCAATCATAGCCATGCACCAAGAGGGTATGTGCCTCTTTGGTTTTGGGGCCCTTTGCTAACAACTGTGAGGGGGATTAAAAGAGTGGTTCAATGCTATCTAGTGTCAGCCATGTCTTTCCTCATGTGGATACCTCTGAGACTGACAAGAAATGTCAGCTGAACTGACGTAATGCTGTTTGTGGGGCTAGGAAACAGAGACTGGGGATTGTGCTAATATATTGCCACTGGGGAGTTTCCTTTTCACTTGGATATTTGTGACTATTGAGACTGAACTCCCTAACTCAGGCATCCTCAAACTGTGGCCCTCCAGCTGTTTTGGCCTTTAACTCCCAGAATTCCTGACAATTGAACAAGCTCGTCAGGGCTTCTGGGAGTTGGAGGCCCAAACAGCTGGAGGGCTGTAGTTTGAGGATGCCTGCTCTAACTCATCACCCTTCTTCCTCTTTTCCCATGCCAGTTTGCCTGCACTGTGATTGCCATCTTGCTGCACTTTCTCTATATGTGTACCTTTGCCTGGGCACTGCTAGAAGCACTGCATATCTACCGTATGCTGAGTGAGGTGCGTGACATCAACTATGGACCCATGCGATTCTACTACATGGTTGGCTGGGGTGTGCCAGCATTCATAACAGGTAGGGGTTTGCACCAAACATTACTTAGATTCTTGCTCGTGACTATTGTGTTGGGATATATTGAACATGGTGATCAGATCATGATATGAATAAACATAACAGTTTAAATAATGTACCAGTAAGGTCTTCTCGTCGAGCAACCTGAGAATTTCGGGGGGGGGGGAGGGCTGAAGCCCCTCAAGAACCCCCACCCCCCAGCTATGGGCCTGCCTCAGTTGAATACCTGCTGTAATTATAGCGATGATTCTCTGAGTGTTGAAGTTGCCAAGGAAAAGATTTTCCCCCCTCTCTACTGATGAAATCCTTTTTTAGGTCTTGCTGTGGGTCTGGATCCAGAAGGCTATGGGAACCCAGACTTCTGTTGGCTGTCCATCTATGATACTCTGATCTGGAGCTTCGCTGGACCCATTGCTTTTGCTGTTGCAGTGAGTAGAGAGATACAAGGGATCAGGGCAAGAAGGTACAAGATTACTAATGCACACAGAAGTGATATGATCTCATGTGGGGGACTTGGAAAAAAACAAGTAAAAGGAAAGTCTGCCTGTCCTTTTATTCCATATATTTTCCCAGCTTCATTATACAGGAAGAGAATTGTGGTTTTTTTCCCCCAAGATTAGGAAAGGACAGAGTATTGCAAAGGAATAGGGCTGACAGCAGCTCGAATGGCATGGAAATGTTTCAGGCCTGAGAGGATGTTGGGGAAACTGGAAAGAAGACTTGTTCTAAACTATCTTCTCTCTTCTTTCACACAGATGAGTGTCTTCCTCTATGTTCTTGCCACCAAGGCCACTTGTGCTGCTCAGCAACAGGGGTTTGAGAAGAAAGGCACAGTGTGAGTCTGGTATTGCTTATATTCTACTCTACTTATGGCCTTCTGACTTTAAGAACTCAACAGTTCTGCTCCATTACCTGCACCATCCTGCCACTTCTTCTGACAACTTGGTCTCTCTTGCTGCTTGCCTACTCCCTGAATATCCCCATCAACATTTATTCATTTACAGTTGGACTTCCACAGTTGTGGGTTTAACCTTTGCAGATTTGATTATTTATTGGTTTGGTTAATATGCTCTCTCTAGGAGTCTTTAGGGCCTCTAGTGCGACTCTTTTTAAGTTTAACCACTAGAACCATCTACAGAATCTATAATCTACAATAATGGATTACTTCCATTATTATAGGGAAAGGTGAAAAGGTTAGCCTTAGGTCTTGCTTGAACTTGGGGGAAAAAACAATGAGACAGAATTATACAGATTTCGGGAGGCCCTAAAGAGAAAGTGCACATTATGTCATCTTACTTATCCTTCCCAGTGCTACAGGTCCTGCCATTCCATCTTTTATGATGTTGCATCAGCTCACTTTTCCTTTTATGATCTGCAACTCACTGGCACACTCAGTGCTGGTTCATCCCAGTGCTTGATGCTTTATAAACATTCTTGGAAATCAAGTAGAGGAAACGGTATGAGTTCAGGACCTGGCTTAAGCCAGGAAATGGAATCTAAGCCTGGTTTATGACAGGAGGCTTTGGAGGTTCTGCATGAGTGAGAATTAATTGGCTATGTTCCTTCTCAATTATAGTTCCGGCCTCCGCTCAGGCTTTGTCTCCCTGCTGCTGATCAGTGTCACTTGGTTGCTGGCCCTGCTGTCCGTCAACAGTGATGCCATTCTCTTTCACTACCTCTTTGCTGGCTTCAACTGTCTCCAGGTATAGTTGACACTGGGGAAAGGAGTCCCCTTTTGGGGGAGATAAAGTGGGGTTTACATTATTATTATTATTATTATTATTATTATTATTATTATTATTATTATTCTCATACAAAAACACAGTATGTCACAGCAAATGAGATCTATATGCTGGATTTTGTATTATTATTATTATTATTATTATTATTATTATTATTATTATTATTGAAGGCAGAGCTGGTGGGGTGTCTTCAGAGATCAGTCATATTTGCACAATGTACAATGGGACGTATCCCTTCTCTTTTACACAAATAGGCATTGTCCATTGACAACATTGTCAAATGCCTTCCTTTAACAGTTCGAACAGTACAAAATTCCATTTTGTGAGTAAGCCCCATTAAGTTTGGCAGATCTTACTCCCAGGTAAACATGTACAGAATTGCAGTCTCAATTCCTATTTCACCATTTTCCTTCCCTTTTCCATAAACTTAGGTTTGTTTTAGTCTTACTGATGACTCCTGCCAAAACTGTAACTCAGTTTCAAAGATTTTCATGTGGCCTTCTGGGCACAGCCGGTCTCTATGCTTCACTTAGCATGTCTACATGATAGAAGTCAGCACAGTTGAATGCAGAGCTGTAGCCACAATGCCTTAGAGGTTTTAAAGAGAACTATACACATCCTTGGAGGCTAGGATTGATGATTATTAGACATGATGGCTAAGGAAATCTTCCTCTTCAGATGCACCATAATACACATTTCTATTTGATTGTGGCCACGAGAGGCTACAACACCTGGGTTAGCAGGCAATGCAACATTTCTCCTCTGTAACTGCTTTTCTGAAGCTTTTTTTGTTAGGGAAAACACAATCCTTGACTAATTGGAACTTTGGCTTGATCCAAATTAGACTACAAATTTCCTTTAAGGCTGTAACAAAGTTTTGTGAATTTTGTTTTATTTTCCCTTGACAGTCTTGATTGCACTTTGGATACAGTCTAAAACAGGCATGGGCAAATTTTGGCCCTCCAGGTGTTTTGGACTTCGACTCCCACCATTCCTAACAGCCTCAGCCCCCTTTCTTTTCTGAGGGGGAAAGGAAAGGGGGCTGAGGCTGTTAGGAATGGTGGGAGTTGAAGTCCAAAACACCTAGAGAGCCAAAGTTTGCCCATGCCTGATCTAAATGCTCTGAGGTCACAATTCATTGGATCTCCTTTGTTTCTTTAACAGGGCCCTTTAATTTTCCTCCTCTGTGTCATCCTATGCAAAGAAGTTAGGAAAGCTCTCAAATCCAGTTGTGGCAAGAAGCACGGCACAGACCCCACACTCACTACCAAATCTACCTTGACCGCTGTAAGTGTTGAAGGAAGAACATCTCAGCAGCCTTATAAAAACAAAAAATGTGTGGAATACTGATGGATATGACAAGGAGGTTTTTCACCTGAAGGCATATTGCAAATTCTGTACCTAGAAAAGCAGGAATTAGCAAACTGTTATGTATTATTACAATCAAGAAAATGTACTTCTAGGTGCATGTTTCTCATAATTTATTGTGCTTTAGCTATTTTTATGGAAAGGCCATGAAATGATGGAAGACATCTTTGAATACTGAAAGTCCTATACAACCCATGACCCTGGTTTCAGGAGGCACACATTTTCACACCTTTCTTCATAGCCTCAAGGCAAACCACAGGGCTAGGAATTTTGAACTCACTTTAAAAAACATTTATTTTACCTAAAGTGTCCTTTATGGGGCAATTTTGTCATGTTTTGGGTTTGCCTGTTTTAGGCTGGACTAACTTTTTTTAAAAAGCCAGAAGTGATTTCACGCTGTCTCCTGGTTTTAAAAAGGACTGTGTGGATCTAAAACAGCAGAAGGGCAAAAACAAAAATGAAATCCTCCACACCAGTGGTTCTCAACCTCTGGGTCTCCAGATGTTTTGGCCTTCAACTCTCAGAAATCCTAACAGCGGGTAAACTGGCTGGGATTTCTGGGAGTTGTAGGTCAAAACACCTGTGAACCCACAGGTTAAGAACCACTGCTCAACACTATAGAGTAAAGTGCAGCCTTGGGCACATTCCCAGGGATGTTTTCTGGCTTTCATTGTTTCCAAAATCTCCAGAGTGATTTTTTTCTAGTGATTATTAACTGGAGGAGAAGGCCTGCTATAGAGAGCACATGGGGTGGACCTGAAAAATGAAATGGATGTGGGAAAAGTGGAAAGTATTTTGTCTCCTTACTGTTTGGAGCTTCCTTCCTGCTAACTACAGTAATTTCTCCAGGCATATAACTGCAACAACACCTATGTGGATGGGCAGCTCTACCACACACCCTTTGGAGACTCCACTGGCTCCTTGCACAGCACTGTCCGCTCAGGCAAGAGCCAACACAGCTACATCCCTTTTGTGCTCAGGTAATTCTAATGCAGTGGTTCTCAACCTTCCTAATGCTGTGACCCCGTAATACAGTTCCTCATGTTGTAGTGACCCCCAACCATAACATTTTCATTGCTACTTCATAACTGTAGTTTTGCTACTGTTATGGATCATAATGTAAATATCTGACATGTAGGATGTATTTTAATTCACTGGACAACATTTGGTACAAATACCTGATTTCAATACTGATGGGGTTGGGGGGGATTGGTTTTGTCATTTGCGAGTTGTAGTTGCTGGGATTTATAGTTCACCTACAATCAAAGAGTGTTCTGAACCCTACCAATAATAGAATTTGGCCAAATTTCCCACACAGAACCCCAATGATCAGCGGAAAATACAGGAAGGATTTGAGAGGAATTGACGGTGATTTTATTTATTTATTTATTATTTGGGCTTATATGCTGCCACTCCCGTGGGGCTCGGAGTGGCTTACAAGAATAGTTAAAATCTAACAAAATGTAAAAGCAATTTAAAACAATTTAAAAACAGCAATATCAAACATTAAAAGCCTGTCGAAACAGGTATGTCTTACATGCCCTGTGGAAAGCTGGTAAGTCCCGCAAGGCACGGACTTCAGGTGGCAGAGTATTCCAGAGTGATGGTGCCACTGCTGTGAAGGCTCTGCGTCTGGTTGCTGTTAGACGCGAGGTCTTGACACTGGGGGCTTCCAATAGATCTTGGTCCTCAGAACGGAGGGATCTCTGGGGTTGATAGGTGGTGAAGTTGGTAGGGGGTCCCTCAGATACATCGGCCCCAGACCATGCAAGGCCTTAAAGGTGAGTACCATCACTTTGAAAGTGATACGGTGCTCAATTGGTAACCAATGCAGCTGTAGTAAGATTGGGGTTATGTGGCATCTCATCGGAATTCCCGCAAGAAGCCGAGCAGCTGCGTTTTGTACCAACTTGAGCTTCTGGATCACCGACAGAGGAAGGCCAATGTAGAGGGCGTTACAGAGAGGGTTGAGCTCCCTCTGTTAACTCCAGCTCCCCATGCAGGGACATGAGAGAAGCCTCCCACAAGGATGGTAAAACATCAAAATATCCAGGCATTCTCCTGGGCAACATCCTTGCAGATGGCCAATTCTCTCACACCAGAAGCGACTTGCAGTTTCCCAAGTCACGCCTGACAGAAACAAAAAAAGCTGAACAGAAAGGGGCAGGCACAGTCCCCGGATCTCCCTCCTCCCCCGGACCACCTCTACAGAACCATTGGGAGCCTGGGGGCTTCCATGCCCAGCAAGAAGGAGATCCCCAGCGCCATCAGTGTTCCCAACAATCAAAGCAGAAGCCAGCTTGGTCTCACCTCCCAGAAAATCAGAGACCAAGGGGGCAGCGACAGGTTTCTGAAGTCACTCCTGACGTGAAAAAAAATCCTGTTCTGTATCAATTTCCCCCCCAAGCACAGAAGTTTCTTCAAAGTGGGCATGTCCACTCATTGCAATAGTATGTATGAGCATTTGTAGCCTATTGCTTCCTTCACGCAAAGTTTGCCCTCATGTGCCAGGGGAAATCCAAGCTAGGGGTTGCTATTAACTTTTCTGGCTTTTTTTACAGGGAAGAGTCTGGCTTAAACAACAGCCAAGTGCACCTTGGGCCTGCAGATCCCAGCTCACTTTTTCTGGAAGCTAAGGATCAAAACAATGGTGAGGAAAGGAAAAATCAAAAGCTTTTAGGGCTGCTTTCCATGACCATGTTGATGGAATTACTGTGAATAGATTCTGACTAGCATTTGCTGAAGCAGGTATGCATTTGCCCAGTTTGAAACTTTGCCTGCATAAGAACATAGAAAGATCCATACTGGGTCAGACCAGAAGAAGCCTCAACCAGTACAATAGTATTATCCTGCTCATGTTCACCAAACAGGGATGTTGAGCATCATACTGCACACTGAAAACTAGTGCTAGGCATCACTCACATGAATTTGCCATTTAAAGCAGCCTAGATTGACAAGCATCGCTACATCTTGTGCGCCCAAATTCTTGAGCTTGTGCACTGTGTGAAAAAGTACTTAAACTACATGGCATCACTAGATTGTAGACTGTACAGTATATGTGGATTGTTAAAAGCTTGGACTATGGAGAAGCAACTACATTAAATAGTTTCATTTTATGCCACAATGAAGATTTATCCAAAACCACTTATGAGAATCATTGCATCATTGAATAGGCATCTAAATCCTTGCTTGTGAAACTTCACATTTCTGATTTTCTTAAGAGAGTTTTTAGCTTGCTATTATTATTTTTGGCCTAAATTGCATGAAATGTGTAGCTAAACAACAGCTACTATCACCGCATGAACTTTTGAAAACCAAAGGTGTTGGAGAGCCTTTTAATTTTTTGGACGAGTTAGTCCTTCTGCATGTCTTGTAAATATGTCTTTTGTTTCCAAATGGGAAAAGAGACTTGGTTTTTTGCACATACATTTTGCAAACTTACAGAAACCTTAGCACAAAAATATGCCCATATTCTCATACTGGATGCAAAGCATTTCACAGGGGATAGCAAACTCTGTAGGTTGCATTGCCTTCTCAGCCTGTCTCAACCAGAATGATTAACTTAGCAAGTTTTCTACACATTCTCAAAGTCAGGTTGCACCTCTACTCCTAAACAGACATCCTGCTTAAATCCTTCAAAGCTTTTAAGTCCCATTTGTGAACCCTGAATTGTGAATTATAAGATGCGTATGTATGAGTAGGTTGGGGGGCATTTGGGGGACAGCCATCCTTTTAATCCTGATCTCTATCTTCTCTCCTTCTGTCTTTTCTGCTCACAGAGCGTGATACTGACTCTGACAGTGACCTCTCCCTGGAGGATGACCAGAGTGGATCCTACGCCTCCACCCACTCCTCAGATAGTGAAGAGGATGAGGAATTTCCCAGAGAACCCTGCTGGGAGAACTTGCTGTGCCCTAACAATGACAAACTGGTGGCACACAGCACTCCAAAGGGTAATGCTGTGCATGGCTTTTAGCACTTCCAGGAATATCAGGGGCCTATAATAATGGGCAAATGGGGTGGGAAGGTCTCACTCTAGAACAGAATTTATGTCAATATATTAACATTGCACCTTCAGAGCATCTATAATTGATTTTGGACAGCTCGGTTAGGATTTCCTTTGCTTATACTTTTAACATATGCATATATATGGAGCCCCCGGTGGTGCAGTGGGTTAAATCCCTGTGCCAGCAGGAGTGAAGACCGACAGGTCACAGGTTTGAATCTGGGGAGAGCATGGATGAGCTCCCTCTGTCACCTCCAGCTCCTCATGCGGGGACATGAGAGAAGCCTCCCGCAAAGATGATAAAACATCAAAACATCCAGGTGTTCCCTGGGCAACATCATTGCAGACGGCCAATTCTCTCACACCAGAAGCGACTTGCAGTTTCTCAAGTCACTCCTGACATGAAAAAAAACACCATATGTATATTATGTAAGTGATGAATATTTTAGCCTTCCTACAGAGTTTGGCATTCAGAAGGGTGTACAGTTCTGTAAGCGTATACAGGTTGGGTATCCCTTATCTGAAATGTTTGGGACCAGTGCTAAGATTTCAGATTTGTGCATAATGAGATGTCTTGAGATGGCCCCCAAATATAAACACAACAATTATTTATGTTTCATTTACACATTACACAAATAGCCCGAAGATAATTTTATACAGTTTTTTAAAAATAATTTTGTGCAAGAGACATTTCTGTATATTGAGGTGTCCAAAAGCAAAGGTGTGAATATCCCAGCCACCCACGTGGACAGTTTGGGATTTGAATATTTCAGATTTAGGAATTCCATATAAGGGATACTCATAATCACTTAATATCAAAGCAATGTTGTTCCTTACACTCATTGGTAGTGGACTGATTTTGATTGATGTGTGTCTGCCCCTTCAGTATACTCCCAAGTTATTATCCACACTTGCTTATTTTTATTTATTTATTTTGCTGGAATTACAGTGAAGTTACAGCAAGTGTATTAAAACATCACAATATTGAAGAAACAGTATTAAAGTAATTTTAAACACTAGCATAATGTAATGCAAACAGGAATTGAACTTGTGGAAGATTAAAAAAACTTGACATCTCAGTGAGCTGAAGGTAGGCACCAGGAATTCCCTTTTTTGAAGAATGTGGTACTGGACTAAGTGGCCATTCCAGGACACACTTGCTGCAGCATTTGCCATTACTCAGAGAGTGGTGGGTGTGGGGAGACTCTGCAACTTCTTGTTAGGGAAAACTACCCTAAAATATGCAGCAGAGTATCCAAAAACAAACAAGATACAAAAGTTGTCCATCAGCTCATTAGTGAGCAGAATGTGAAGTGCCGTGTGATGTGGCTGTAAAGAATTTAGAGCTTAGGCAAGCAAAGATGCAGATTCCGGTCTATAAAAAGTCACAAAAGGTTTGCTTACTAACTGCATAAGACTTAACTACATTTCTTCATAGTAAATAACTGGGTCTGAGCTACTCTTAACACCCATCTCTTCTACGGTTTCAAAGAGAGGGAAAACACAATAGCTTCATCTCTCCTGGCACACAAGCAGAGAGAGAGATCTCAAAGCACACAGCACATACTCTCCATACTAAAGTGTGAGAAGGCAGAAGTCAGATTCAAAAAGGCTTACAGTAGAAAAGTATTCCTTTTAAACACCCAATCAGAACAAGAACAGAAACAGAGAGCAGAAATTAGATAAATGTCAACTGTCATACAGGAGACACAGGGGAAGGGAAACCCTTAGTCTTGAGGCTTGGGCAGTGTGGAGTTGAATCCCAACACTTCTCAGGTTTTATTCCCAATGTTAACTATTCTAGGACTGGTGGCACTTGCTGCCTCACAACATTTGGAAGCTCATGTATTTTTCAGTCAACGGACACCTGGAAGGCCACGTCTTTTCCACCCAACAGAGGGAAAGTGTCTAGGAGGGTTCTCTGATGTGACTTGGAGCTTGGCAATAGCCCTGATGTTGGTAAAAAGCTTGGCAGTTCTCTTGATGGTGGAGGAAAAGGTGCCCAATTCACTACCTGCAGTTTGGGTCATGCTCTGCCCCATGGGAAGCCAAACTTCACTAGTATAGTATCGCAAGGTAGAAAAAAAAATGCATTTCCCTACCATCTCAGAGTAATGTAATTTTCTCCAAGCCAAAACCAAGTGTTTTGATATAAATTGCATGCTCCTGGATGACCATCTTTGTTTCTCTTTATAAGATTTGGCAAGACTTCTTCACAGGTCTTTAAAAGGCAGGGAGAGCAGAACAGACATTGTGCTTTCTGCTCAAGCCTGTTTCTTTTCTCTGTTCTCCCCAGTGGATAACCTCCCTGTTCCTGTGAAACCTTACTGGCCGGGTGACTTTGTGACCACCGCAAGTGAGAGTGATGGCCATGCTGGCTCAGAGAAGCTACGTGTGGAGCCAGTTGGCAAGATGGACCGGATGGGGTTAGCAGAAGAGATACCGAGGGAGAATGGGGAAACACAGACCAGGGAGGGCATAATGGGCTCACTGCCTCATTCCACTGCCCAGCCCTATAAAGGTAAGCTTTGGCTTTTGAAAGATATAAACAACCACTAATCTGATTCCATGGGAACATGCCCGTCTCTACTTGTGGGTACTGCTAATGTTGAATGATAAATTCTGTATCTTGAAAATCTCAGCTCAGAAACAAGAGTAAGTGTATCTATTGTTTGGTGAAGTATAATGAGAACTAGACCTCTGTGGATATCAAGTACTTGACTGGCAATGACAAAACGTAGGTAAAAGCAGCATGGCAGTTTTATGTATATGGCATCAAATGGTTGCCTTTGTAAGGCCACTCCAAGTTCCCTTCGGGGTTGAGAAGGGCGGCGTATAAATACTGTAAATAAATAAATAAATAAATAAATAATTTATTGATTGGCATAATTTATACAGGTCTCCAAATGTAACTTGACATGCTATCTGATCTGGATATTCTTTTTTTGAGTGCAGAAGATGTTGAGCCCTGCTTAGACTCACCTGTGTCTTGCTCCAGACAGAAGGCAGTCACAATTCTTTGTCATTTTTCTATCAGATGTCTCAATAAATTTCACTCCAATCTAAATTTGATGTAGCCTCTTAGCAGAAATTAGGCAGAAAAAGTATAATGTTGCTGCAAATCATATGATGTAATATAATATTGCAGAACTGTGTATGTATGTGACTGATTCACCTCAGGACAGTTATATGGACTGCTTGGCTTCATGCCATTGACTTCATCTATTCTATTATCTCCTCCACCTAATATACTTGGACAGCTATGGAAAGGCAATTGACTTGACAAATGCAGTGTAGTGCTTTGTCCTTGGCTGATTATCAACAGGAATTGATTCTTTTGGCTCCACCATTCTTTCTCTAGGTATCCTAAAGAAGAAGTGCTTACCCCCCATCAGTGAGAAGAACAGCATCCAGCGCATCCACAACAAGCTCGCCAGCTGTCGCTCAGGAATGGTGTCATCCCATGGTTCTTCAGGCAGTGATGGCAGCCGTGGGGGCGGGGTGCCCCGACCTCGCCAGACGTTACAGGAGCAGCTCAATGGCTTGACGCCCATCACTATGAGCATAAAGACTGGCACAGTGGATGAGGACTCTTCAGGCTCCGAGTGAGTATGCTGGAGCCTTCTCTTTGGTGGGCTCTGCTTGGCAGCTCGTACATGTGAGCCCTCTACATTTGTGTGTGGATCTCACTCATCTGCACCACGTCTGGTGCTTCCAATCCTTCTGGGCTGGCACTTCACTATATCTCTTACTCCACCCCACCTTGTCCCAAAGCTGTGCCTCTCAAAAAAATTCTCTATCTGCCACTACTTTGTGGCTTCTTTGGTTCTTCCTAATTTGTACTGTCAACCTCTTGCAGTTCCTCTGAATTTTTTGGGGCCATGTTTTCACTGTGGCCTGCTAAGAATCACCACTTCCCTTGCTTTTGTCCTTTCCAGTCTTGGCCTCATTCCTTCTCTGACTTCTGGCCAAGAGTAGAACAATTTCTTCTGTAACCCTTCAGCCTGATACCCTGAAGCGGGAGGTGATTTGGGAGTGGAAGGGCAGAGGTACAAGGTTGCCCTATTTTAAGGATGCATTTCTTAGGCTGTTCTTGGAAGCTAAAATGCATGAAGCTTCATATGATGTCAAGAATGGGCTCTTCTGCTCACATACTGGGCTTCCCCAGGGTTGCTCTGAGATGTGAACAGTCAGTCCAAAGTATTATCTTGGGTGCAGTGATGTTGTAAGGGAGGTGGGATTGAGGGAATGCTGTCCTATTCTAACTTCTTCCTCAGCTCTCTGGCACTAACCCACCCTCTCCTCCTCCTCTTCTCCCTTTTCTTTCTCTCGTTCTCTCACCTTTCTCTTCAATCGCCCAGATTTCTGTTTTTTAATTTCCTCCATTAACACATGAGCCCCAGGGGGGTGCTTTGCTCAGACCTGCTCATGACCATGCTCATGTGTTTGTTTCCCCCCGTCCCGTCTCGCTTTGTGTTTGATCACTGAGCAGGAGCGATGAAACCTCAATCTGATGCCGCACGCACCAGACTCTTTTTCTCTTGTGCTTTGGCCAGTCCGGGAGCCCAGGATTGCTCTCAAACCGCAGCGAGGAATGTTGTCTCCTTCAGCACAGCCCAAGGAGCTGGATCCACCATATGTAGTGCCAAATGAAAACCGACCTGCTGTCACTCCTGCACCAGGGGAATGGCAGGTCCCAGGAGGCGGACCTACTTGAACAGATGCACTTTGGATCATTGTCAAAGGGACAGGAACAGAAACACAAACTTGACCACCTCCAAGTCTTCAGGGATTTTCTTGCTTTGTGCCCAGTCTGGAACTTCTAAGTGGCTGGAATATATATTTTTGTCTATCAAAGCTGGGCTGGGGGAGCCTCAGCAGCAACCACACATCGACGCCTCTGGATATGCATTATTGTGCAGATGTTTGCATATTTGACAATGGGGTTGAGTAGGAGGGGGTCAGTGCACATGGAGCATGGCTGCCATTAGGAGGTGGGTGACACTGAGAACTGTAGATTCTAGGATAGGGAAACACATCTGGAATGGGACAGTTTCTGGAAGGTATTAATTAGTATGGGTTACTCCTACAACCAGAAGATTGCAACATTGAATTATGGCCAAGGGTGTCATGGCTGTGCAGGAGAGCTGCATGAGATCTGTGCTAAGCTGTCTAATCAGACCTACTTTCCTTCCCTTTGTGTATACATTCCTAGGAGATAGCCTTTGCTTCCCTCTGCAATGTGTATGTATCATAAGTGTGCTTTTCTTTGATTCCTAAGCACAAGCTTAAACACATCTTCCAGTGTGCAATTGAAGCTTGCTTAAACCCTGGGTAGGCCACTCTCTCATAGGAAAGACAATAATCTGACATTCTGGCTTTGTTATTGCAAGAATGGGGAAGAAAATTATCATCCAAGCAGTCATTTCTGGACTCTGTGCCAATATCTTGTTGGTAATTGCACACCAGGGACTAGAATCATCTATTTCCTCCCCTTAATGTTATTGTTAAACGAAATGGTAGGATTATTACAAAAATCCAGGGCCATTTCCCCAGGATGTCAGTCACCATCGTACTACTTATGACCATGGACTGTACTGATGTGCACCAGCTGTGGATTGTGTCCCCTGTCTGCCATGTTGCTTGCTCCAGCCTCACTGCTTCAGGTTGCCCAGTGGAACTAGGGGTGTAGGACCCAATCCAAGCCACTGGTATCCAAGGGAAATGCTTCCTTCTCAGTCCGAGATCAATGACAAACCACTCAGTTGTGACCACTACTCCTCCAAGCTTGGCTTGCCAATCCACTGACTTGGCCCCATCGGGATTGCTCCAAGAGGCAGCCCATAGCTGCTGAGCACCGCAGATGGTGCCTGCTGAGCTGTCAGTCCGTGCTGCAGTATTTTAATAGAAAATGACAAAAAGAAAAATGTCCCACCTCCTGCTCTTCACCGCCAGCCAGCACCTGGTCCATGTGCCACTGGCCTGGAGCAGGGATGCTGCCTTGACGTCTCCCGATAGCACCCGGCTCTCATGCCAATAGGGTGCTGCCTTTCTGCCTCAGAAGCCTTCATTTTTCTACACTCAGCCAAGCCTGATGCCTGCTCATATTGGGGATTTTCATGCTGGGTCCTTTTGGAAAGTACTTTTTTATAATGTTCCTTGGGAAAGAGATTTTTTTTCTGCTGATAATGGAGTAGGGGAAGAGGGGGGCGGCTTGGGGAAGGGTGAAGGCACTGTTTATTTTGATGTGTTGTTTTTTTTTTAAAAAACTTGACCACTGCTGAAGGGTGTTCTAATTTGAAGAGATGAAACACCCCTCTGAGTTACATCTTTAGCTTTGTAGCAGTGTTAAAGTCTCTTTAGCTGGGGCGCAAATGGAATGCGCTTTACTGACCTAGACAAGGTTTGCACAATGAGGAGTTAAACTGGGACTTGACCATTGTCTTAGTCTGGCTAATCAAAGGATGCTGATCGTTGCCTCTGGAAATCTTGGCCCTTGCCATCCAACCTTGGATGGCCTCCGTCCTTGCCAGTTTCCTAACCCTTTTCTTGGAATGTTTTGACATAATAGGATGTGGTTCTCTTAAACCTGTGTAATGTCAGCCTGGCACTTTAGTAGAATCTACTGTGTTTGCCACCTTCTAGCATACAGCAAGGAATCGATTTCAGCCTCTTAAAGACATAGAGTAGTCTAATGTAGTTTTGCTTCTACTGCACACAATGTTCTCATGTGAGCTATTCAGCGGCATCTTCGTTAAGAAAAAGGAGAAAATGGAATCCTTCCTTCCTCACCACACAATACGCAGCAATGTTGGAAGCCTAAAGTGTCCTAGATCAGATAAGAAAAAGTTAAGAGGTGACATGATAATAATGTTTAAATAGCTGAAAGGATGTCATATTGAAGAAGGAGCTTGTTTTCCGCTGTTGTAAAAGATTAAGACACAGGGCAATGGATTCAAACTACAGAAAAAAATATTCCTTCCTAAAATTAGGAAAAACTTCCTGATGGTAAGAATTGTTTGGCAGTGAAATATTCTGTCTTTGAGTGTGTTAGTCTCCTCCTTTGGAGGTTTTTAAACAGAGGCTGAATGGTCATCTGTCGGAAATCCTTTGTGTATTCCTGCATGGTAGATGGTTAGACTGGGTAGCCCTTGTGGTCTCTTCCAACTCTATGGTTCTGTAATTCTGTCATTCTAATGCTTAACTCCATACTGACAGGATCCTATTAGTTGTTGGTAAAGTATAAAACTTGCCTAGCATTTTTACACTACACTGCAAGTACTGCTCTTTTTCCTAGTTGTGTAAGGCAAATCCAGTAGCTTCCAGGTGCACCCCTGCAGCCATTCAAAGGTTCACACACCAGCCAACCTGTGTTGCACACTTTGGAAAAGGAGCAGCTTTTTCCCACTCAGACCACTTCCAGTGTACTGACTGGCGGGCCATGAGGGTGAAAGCTGCTGTTTTGTTTGGATTTGCAATGCAAGCTGTGTTGGTGTCTGGGTAGAGCCAAGTAGTAAGAGGATGGGATGGAGCTATACTGTGCTCTCTTCCGGATGCCCTTGCAGAGCCAGGGGAAACCAGAAGGTTTTCTGCAATGTCTTTCCAAGTACTTCAGCTGGCAGGCCCTGGTTAGGCCAGTGTAAGTAAACAAAAAACAGTCAAACTTTGTACTTTATCACCAAGAGAGTGGATATGTATATGAAAATGAGCAATGGCTTTTTTTCCCTCCTGACAACTCCTCTGGTATGCTTGCTACAATTACTCTAGCACTATATGGGAGAACAAGGAAACCGTGGACTTCCTCTGTTTTTCCCCATGGAAAGACATAGTGTTCCTGCATGAGACGTAGATTAGTGCAAAGAGGTATGTAGTGTTTTTAACTGTAGAGAATGGGGCACTCCCTTTGGCTCTGACTAGCAAATCAAAAGATCTAAAAAAATAATAGCCATAAACTCTGATCACTTTTGAGCATATTAAAAACAGTCAGTAGAGAAACTGACAAGTAGAGATAACCAGAGAAGCTTCCCTTCTCAAATTTTGCATTATGAGTTCTTAACATGGGAGCAAGTATTTTTGTATCCCAACGAAGTGTCCGTGGAAATCCACAAACCCTACAGTATTCATTTTTAAGGGAGGGCCAATGGCTGCTAAAGAGTGTCTTCCAGAAAACCCTCCGTAGACAGATTGAGCTCCTTTTCCAGTTCGCATTTGCTGAATAGTTTCACTGCCAGAGTCCCATTACAGGCAGCTATGCAGCAGCTGAAGCCTCTCCTATAACTGGGAAGACTTTTGTCTGTAAAATTTTGGTCTCTTTAAGCTATTAAAGGTATCAGAGTTCTAGTAGATGAAAAAATTGCAACCTTTCCCCACCCCAATCCTTGAAATACCTCTAAATCTGAGGTTTCAGACTGCAACTCAAGTACACAGAATAGCCTACAGTAACTTCCTATGCAAGAACTTTCTCATATTTAGAAACCATTACCTGAAACAAACTGGAAAGCAGTAATGATTCAGAATCAGCTCTCTGAAACAGCTGTAACTTCCAGGAAAAAATGTCTTCAGATTATTCTGCCCTCAAAGGAGAACAGAATTGGAGTGGGTGGGAGAGTCCTTCCACTAGAGAGCTATTATAAGTCATCAGAGAGGTGTTAAACCTCAAGATACCATAGGATCAAGGAGTGACGGACTCCTGTTTCAAACTCCATACAAAAGCTTGGCTTCTGCTCCATCCACTGCAACCAGTTTATTGTTTTGAATCTATCTGCTATCCATAAAAAGCCAGTTAGCTGTTTCACCAATGGTGGTAATGTATTTGGCATGTCTGCATTTTAATTTATTTTTAAATGTTTTTTTTAAATATGTATACATATATTTAATGAAGACTGTCTGTCCAAAGCTGTGCCATCTTAGGGGAGGGGCTGGAACAAACCAGAGTCAAGGGAAAAATCATCACCATTCAAGTCAGATCCTGAAGCAAATGAAAGCAGCTTTCCTACAGCCAGCACATTTGATGTTGGATTACAACCACCACTCCAGCCAGGAATAATGGAGTTTTAGTCCAGTAGACCTGGAGTACAGTAGATTGGTTATGTATTTAGAATAAATTTAGGCAGGAAAATGTGGAAATGTATGGGGATGATCTGTATTATCTGTCAGTCATCAGAAGAGACCAGTAGCCTCAACTAGGAAAAACACATCCTACCAACTGTAATAGGAGTGTACAAAATCAACTATGTGGACCATGCATCGTTATATAATTCATAAAAAGGAGTCTGAGTAAACTGACACTAGTTCTGAAAGTCTAGTTATGGCAGATGCAGACTTCATTCTCTGCTGCTTTACCCAGGTGGTAAACACTTGTCACTGTTGTCCAGACCTGGGCACTTGTCATTATAGGCTCAGACCCCTTGTCTGAATATTGGCATGGACTCCTCTCCCCTGCAATAGCTAAGGAGATTGTTTACAGCAGAGATTATCCTCGAAAAGGTATGATTCTTTTCCCTTTTGCCAGGAAGGTGCCAGCATCTTCGCTTGCTACAGTGCAGAGAAATTTAAAAAGTAAGCATCCCAACCCATGTCCACCAGTGCATTTCCAGAAGGTACCTCTTCTGAATGTCTACCTGACAACTCTTGAAGATGCTGGAAACTTAGGGAAACAACCTGACTTTTCCTTGAGAAGCTCAGCTTTGGCCCGGAGGGCAGAGGTGAAGAGGATCGGGAAAGAGACCTGGTATAATTCAGTCCTTTGGAGCAACACAATATTTTGTTAACTTCTGATGTGATGCTGGCTTTTCCCTTGGTATAAAAAGTTGAAGTGTACAGGTAGGGTTGGTAATGTAAATATTATAGGGTTCACCCCCTTCCCTAAAAAAATAAAACCATAGTTCTGTGGCAGGTGGCTCTATTTCAGTGTTGTGTGTCCATATCTAATGCTAGAAAATGTCGCTTCAACATGCAATGTGGGCAATTTGACTACCATTAACCAAGATGGTTGCTGTCTTCAAGGGGCTTCTGACCCTCATGGCCCTAAGATGAACCTATCACAGTGTTTCCTTGGTAAGATTTCTTCAGAAAGGGTTGGTCTTTATCATATTCTGAGGTTAAGATAACATGACCTGCTCATAATCACTCAGCAGGTTTCAATATTCAACTGGAGATTTGAGCTCTGTTTTACAGTAATAGTCCAATGTTTAAACCACTATACTATGCTAACTCTTAGTCACTAACCAAGATAGCTCATTTTTTTTTGAAGACGAGTAGGTGGTGGTCTTGCTAGCAGTTGAGATGGCAAAACAGGTGAAGAAACTGGGCTCATCTTCCATGAAGGATAGAGCTCTTGCAAAATAAATCATTAAGCAGCAGAAAACCATTACATACCTTATACCAACAATCTTTGGGCCCTTCCACACAGTCATATAATCCAGAATATCTGATAATGTAGGATTTTTTAAAATAATGGTAAAGATACTAGCAAGGAACATTTGACCACCAGTTTTGGGAGACAGTATCTGTGGCTGATAATGCCCACACATATACAGAGGAATGAAGCAGTTCTTAGCCATATATATATCTATGTATGTTCTCATATTCCTGCACACTATTTAATGGAGGAGACAAGTTGTTGCTTTGTTTATTTCAAAATCTAAAATACATATATGTATCATTTTGTCAAGAGTCTACAAAACATTCCTAAATTTTGGGTCTGTTAAAAAAAATAGAATATATATATTTAATAGTACAACACAACAATTATTCCACAGGGAAAGGATGAGCCCTCACTCTCATACAAGATTTATGAGGAAATACAGTATTGTGGGAGTCATTCATCACCCATTCTCTACCTCAAAACATATTTGAATTGTGATTTTCTACATTTTAAGCAATTGTTCCACAGGCTTTCAACCATGTCATCTCTTGCCTTCAAAGGATGTCCAGGACCCTATGGATCAAGTTCTGTTAATGTATCATATCGAACTGTCATCACATAAAGAACACAATACAAAACACCGTCTTTTCTGCTTACAGACATTACTTGTTTCCTTCAATCACAGAAATGTATCTTGAGAACAATGTACTCCCCCCACCCCCCCACATCTTTGAAGAAAGAACAGAAAAGCTAGAAAGATGGTAAGAATAATTAAAAGGCTACATTAATTTGAGGAAGTAGAAGAAATAAATACGTAATTACAGAGCTATGACCTGTTTGGGAGCAGGCAAATCTCATGTGTTTCCAGCAGCTGCAGAGTAGAACAAATGAAGCTTTTAAAACATTTGTGCTTCAATTTCTTCCTCTTGTCACCATTAACAATAGAAGAGCCCCAGGGTGGATGTGGGCGGAAGAGACATACATAGCAGCCTTCTTGATTTTCACATTTAAGTATCTGTCTGTGACTGTACACGAGTTTTTTGGAACTAAAAAGCAGCTAACAAACCATAATCTGGACAAAAGAGAATCCACTTGGTTTCATAACCTGGGGCACTATTTTACAGAGGACCATAAAAGGATAGCATATACAAATATGTCGTCATAAAGAGTTTGAAATAAAAGCTGTCTATGTTCAGACATAAAAATGAGAACCAAGTTCTCATAAAAATGAGAACGATTAGCACATAGCAAGCTTAGTCAAACAAAACATTAATTCTCAAAATTCATTGCTACATGATTAGTGAAATGTATTACCTATAGATAGTGCTCTTTTACAAAACAGCAATTGTAACATACATATTTTCCAGTAACAGCATAATCTTTACAAACATAATACTTGTACAGCTCTGTGCTGCAGTGGTTTGCCCTTTGGAAGACTGAATATTGCATTGGTCCACATCCAATACTGCTTTTCTTAATGAAGGATTTAGGCCAACTTTCCCCAGTTTACATTCTTCAGAGGCAATGGGCAATGCTGCCTGGGGACTTTAAAATACCTTGAGAGCATCAGGTTAGCCAAGATTGTCTTAAGCTGATAAGTGAATGGGGAGACTGGCCATCCAGATATTTCATACTACAATGCCCACAATCCCCTAGCAATGATAATAGTCAAGTTGAGAAGAGATGATGGAAATTGGCCGAAAGAGCCAGAGAAGAAAAGGTTCCCGACTTGTGATAAAACTAGAAATACTTAACAAAGTCCCTGCGAGCCACTTCTTGGCTTAGAATGCTTCCCAGCATCCCAGTCTGATCTATAAATCAAAAGGCACTTAATAAAGTAGTGGCAAGGAGGAATGTGTTGTAGGTTGTAGGAGCGAAATAGCATGACTGGGCATAGGAATTGTAGTGGGGGTCCACAACAGAAGGGGTAACAAGTTTCCTCTGATAACAGCAGAGAGGAAAGCAGGTTGCCCAGGATTATCTTCGGAAGGAAAAAGTCTCAGTTGATCAAAACTTCCAACACCTGTCCCCAAGAAATGCAGTGATAAATTATTAGCTTCAGAATTCTTCCCCAAATACTAGACACCAGTATACTTTCAACATTTAGCACAGTCCTGAATGGATTAAAACAGCACAGCAGGCCTGCGTGAAGATATTCCACCCCACAATCTACTGAATTGTCTCTGAAGCCCCTCCTCACTGTCACAGCCACTCTATGTCTCAAGGAGAGAATATGTGAGAACAAGTGTAAATATGTGAGGAGAAGTCACAGGGAGGAGGGAGCAAGCTTGTTTTCTGCTGCCCTGGAGACTAGGACATGGAACAAGGACTTCAAACTACAGGAAAGGAGATTCCACCGGAACATTAGGATGAACATCCTAATGGTGAGACATGTTCGGCATTGGAACTCTCTGCCCCAGAGTGTGATGGAGGCTCCTTCTTTGGAGGCTTTTCAGCAGAGTTTGGGGGTGCTTTAAATGCAATTTTCTTGCTTCTTGTCAGGGGGTTGGACTGGATGGCCCATGAGGTTTCTTCTAACTCTACGATTCTATGAGAGAAAAGTATGCAGCCATGAGAGTATCTCGCTACATAATTAACCAGCCCTAATAAGTGTAAATTGGGAACAATTTCGCAATGCCTGCACAGTCCCTAAATCAGAGACTACATAGGAACCATGAATATGTAACAGTCATGAGCATGCATTCTAGTTTACATATTCTTAACAGTGATATAGGAATCCAGCCTGAAAGCTTTGTTTTAGAAATGAGAAGAAATTCCCAAGATACTGAACTCTGTGCCTATTATTAAATTTTGCATCTTCAAAGAATTGCAAAAATATATAGCCTCACAGCAGAACAAGATCCTAGAGGCAAGCAGGCTTACCATGTTGCTGAATAGGATCCCAGACAGAGCACATCTGCTCACACAAAAGTATGCAGCCAAATATTCTTGCCAGTTTCTGTGTTAATTCTTGTTTATGTAGTGAAGACCCATGTCAAGATACTTTGCATACTCAGATGTGCAAGGAAGAAAGACAGCAGTTCACAAGAATAAAGATGCGGATTGTATCGCCCTCCAAGTATTGTGGATTTGCAACTCCCAGCAATTATCACAATTGACTATTCTGAGAGTTCAAGTCCAATAATATCCGAAGGGCCACACAATCCCCATTCCTTTAAGTGCAGAATGGGGAAAGGTTCAGTCTGGAAACTGAATTTCAATCTGCGAAGGGTCTTGGTTCACATTCCAGTAATATGTGGAAACTAATGTAATTCTTCTGAGCACTTCCCCAACAAGCATAAAGAACACAACTTAACTCTATGCATACTTAACTCTATGCTTTCAAGTATGCAAATCACAGCATTATAATGGTGGGAGAGGGACAAGGGATTTTGGTAGAAAGTGCTGGCAGTCTCTGCATTAAAATGTCCAGCTAGCAACAAGGCAAGGCAAGTTGATTTGCAAATGTAATCCAGGTCAACCAAGTGTTTTTAGCAACTGAGACAGGAAATTCCATGAATATCTTTCCCTTAACACAGTAGTTCTCAACCCATGGATCCCCAGATGTTTTAGCCTTCAACTCCCAGAAATCCCAGCCAATTTACCAACTGTTAGGATTTCTGAGAGTTGAAGGGCAAAACACATGGGGGCCCACAGGTTGAGAACCACTGCCTTAACAGTTAAACTTAGAGTATAGAATGACTCCCATATCAACAAGGGATATAGTCCAAGACCTCCTGTGGATACCTGAAACCACATATAAAAGCAAAAACTACATTTTGGCTATACATGGCCCAAAGGCATGCCATAGAACAGTGGTTCTCAACCTGTGGGTCCTCAGATGTTTTGGCCTTCAGCTCCCAGAAATCCTAACAGCTGGTAAACTGGCTGGGATTTCTGGGAGTTGTAAGCCAAAACACCTGGGGACCCACAGGTTGAGAACCACTGCCTTGGACTATACCTGTTTCTTTCTTTTTGGAAGTGTTCTGGGGGCCAACAGCTCATAGCTTGCTGATCTGAACTGGTCCATGAACTACCACTTTGAGTAGCACTGGTTTATCATGAAGAGATTGCACACAATTGTGACCACCAGAAACTTTGCAGAAACTCCTAGTACAACCATGGATATTGAGTATGTGGATAAGGGAGCTATACTGTAGTTAACACATTTCTCAGTGTTACTATGTTATGCTCCCATATTGCTACCCTCCCCACCCAAGCCCACCTCTATGACTTAAAAATCCAGGGGCCCAAAACATCACCTTGAATTGTCAGAGGTTTTCTTCCTCAGCCGCAGCTTGATGTTCTGGGAAGGGCTGAATAGGGCTGTCTGCTGAACTGTGGAAGCTTGAAGAAATGAGGAAAGAAACAGAAACAAAGATGGCAGCATTGCTCGCTGTACCTAAAAGGCAGCCAAATGTACCCCATATACTAAGGTATAAGCCTAGGAATATTAGTAAAAAAAAATCAGCCTGAAAAACCTGGGTCAGCTATCTATGGGTCAACATGAATACTGCACCTTCACTCTTAAGAAAAAAGAAACCATACCCTTCTAGGAGTAGAATGGAGAAAGGTGAGAACTTAGTCCTTCCTGGGAGAACCTAAAAGAAGCAGTGACTCCCCCCACTCTCTCTGCAGAGGTGCAACTGCTGACCTTTCTAAATGCCTAGGTGGGGAAATGGCAACAGTGGCTGAGGCAGCTGTCCTCCTGAGTTGGCATTGATGCCTTCCCTTCTCCGTGGAATGACCATCAACTTATCCATGGGCATCAAAATCCAGAATTTTGCCAAATATCCCTTTTGGTAGAGGCTGATATGAAACAACTGGATCCAGATTAGAAACCAGAGACCTCTTTACTATCCATGTAGCCAGGGCATTCTGAAACTTGTAGTAAAACAAGTAATCTCCCCTAGCTCTGGTCCTTGTCTAGAGTTCTATGAGAAGTAGAGATGCTTCTTTTAAAGACATCTTCTGGCAGCCCAGCCTACCAAACCGAAATAGAGGCTATGATTCTAGTTACAAGGATATTCACCTCGTAACTAGAAAGCAGAAAAGTGTCTAATTTTGAGCTGTTTTTGAATCTTTACTAATGAACTATATTCTGAGTGGCTGAGGAACACAAGTTAGCCTCCCCCTAAGAGTAGCACAGAAAAACCTAAATTCTGTTGTTAGTCCCAACTAATTTTTTTATTTACATTCAAAAAGGGTTCTTAGTTACAATATAATTAGAGGAAAATTCAAAATGAAAACGGAGGAAAAATAACTGCCAAATGTCCAAATATAAGTTACCGTAAAAACCGGGGTACTAGACGACCTTTTAGACATGTAAATCCTTATAAAATTTTGGGGGTCGTCTAGTACCCTGGGTATAAAAATAAAAAAATAAAAAAATTACCGGTAGAGCCTCTTGGGGTGGATGCCTTGGCCACGGGCTCCCCCCCCCTCCTCCGCTGCCTTGGCACATGGCAGCCTCCTGGTCAGGCTCCCTGTTGCTCATCTCTTCCTGGCTTCCACGGGCAGGTCTCGCGAGAAGCGCCTCTTCTCCCATGAGACACCGTTGTCTCGCGGGAGAAGAGGCGCTTCTCGCGAGACCTGGACAGGAAGAAGGCGAGCAGCCTGACCAGGGCGGAAAGCCCTTCTGCGCAGGCCGTTCTCGTTCTCGCGAGAAGCGCCTCTTCTCCTGCGAGACAACGGTGTCAATCTTTTTGCAGTCAATGGGGTATGAAAAATCTGCTGGCCATTCGTTAGTTTCAAAGAAAGAGGCAAATTATTTGGAAGAATATATACATGACCTTGAATATTAAGAAACTTTTCAAAATTATATTGACTTCCAGTTTCAGTTGAATAACCACAAAACAAAGCAATAACATTATTACATCCCCAACACTTTGCTGATTAGAAAGCCTTCTCTTGAATAAACCTTGTGGCAAACAACATATTTGAAAAGCAATTTGCATAGTGTAAGATGCAGTCAGAGATTTATGGTCACACTAACGGAAGGTTTTAAAACTGATGGCTACTGATTAGTCAGAAATCACTATTTTATTTCTCCATCTTATTCTTGCTGTAAACCTTGCATGCACACCGTATTTGTTTATAAAATAACAGAAATCTACCCCCCTGGTGGTGCAGTGGGTTAAACCGCTGAGCTGCTGAACTTTTTGACAGAAAGGTTGGTGGTTCAAATCTAGGGAGCGGGATGAGCTCCTGCTGTTAGACTCAGCTTCTGTCAACCTAGCAATTTGATAACATGCAAATGTGAGTAGATCAATAGGTACAGCCTTGGTAGAAAGATAACGAGGTTCCATGCAGTCATGATMGCCGCATGACCTTGGAGGTGTCTATGGACAATGCTGGTTTTTCGGCTTAGAAATGAAGATGAGAACCACCACCACCAACACCCCCCCCCCCCCAAGAGCTGGACACAATTAGACTTTATGTAAGGGGAAAGCTTTACCTTTACTAACAGAAATGTATATATATTTGGTTTGGATACTTGGTTGGCCTCAATTAATACCTCTAATATTAAGGGAACCTCAAATACACTTAAAGCTGCAGGGCCAAATCTGGATTGTAATACATTTTTAGTTGCAAATATTTCCATTTAGCCAGCAGAAGTAGTTTAAACTGCTCTTGTAAAATTATAAAAGGCAAAAAGTCACTACCAACACAAAGTCGCTGATCTAGTGTAACAATCCTGTTGTCAGCCCATTCATTCAATACCATTGCTTACCAGTTTTCAAATCTGGATTCCTCCATAAAATCAAATTGCAGTTGACGAGACAATACTTGCTACATAGTTTTCCACGAAAATTGTTGGCAGAATACTATCCTGGAAGGCAGAACTCTCTCTCTTTGACTGAAATTTGCATCTTTTTCACCAAAGTCCTAGGATGATATGACCCTCACAACTACTAACCAATGGGATTCATTTTTAAAAAATGCTTGCAAGGTATAAATAGAGGAATTCCACAAATTTCATTAATAATTCTCGATATTTTAAATCGTAAATCCCTGACCCCATAGACTTATATCTAAGCCTATCCATCTCTAAATCTTGTACAATATTTTGTATCAATTTACTTATATCAGGTGCAACAAAATGGGTTGACTGCTGAGGCTTTAAAATTAATAATGAAAGATCATCTTCAAAGATACATTTTAACCCGACCTGCTGAAATCCACTGATCCTGGAATTTGTCTAATAGCACATGCTAAGGGTTCCAAGCACAAATGGAATATAAAAGGAGACAATGTTGTTAGTCCCTGCTAAAGCAGACTCATTAAATTAATGGTATTGACCTACATGCTGATTCACCCTTCAATTCATCTACATTGTTTGGGGCCAACCAACAGGATGTAGGGCAAAGTTTAATGGAAGGTGAACTTCCTATAACATCAATAAACCAGAATTCAAGGCTCTACAATTGCTTACATTGTTTTTTTCACATGCAACCCACTGTACTTGCACCAATATTTTATTTTGGTCCTTCATATATTTTAAGTTATTTCTAACTTGCATCCCCCTGAGGAGCCAGGGTTCATACATTTCCAGGTCTTCTAAATAAGCATTCTAGAGCTTTGAAAAGTATACATTTGGGGGGAAAAAAACATCAAGATGTCATAGAGATTGGAAAGCAAACTCTGATAATGGTGATCTGATGGCAAACCAGTCCAATTTTTAAAAATACTGCTTTTCCCCCTCACACCATCCACTAAAGCAACCCACTGCTCCTGTGAACCCCAGTATCCCCCTCCCCACTTCCAATTTTATATAAAACAGTGCTCCATGCAGTCATGCTGGCCACGTGACTTTGGAGGTGTCTACAGACAACACTGGCTCTTTGGCGTAGAAATGGAGATAAGCACCACCACTCCCACCGTCCGCCCGCTCCGCCCCCCACAGTCAGACACAACTATACTTAAAGTAAAGGTAATATTTACCTTTACTTAAGAAATCATGCCCCTGAAAGCAGACAGATGTTGTATCCATGGACATAAGAGTGATTTAATATATAAATCAAATCAATAGAAGGGGAGGAAGAGAACATGGTTGTGAAACAGATCGGGATACAAGTGCAATTGGTGCCACTGGAAGTATATGCTAACAAGAACCAGCATTTTCTCCATCGGACAGGAACCATGTAACTCCCCTCTCAGTGATACTTGATGTCTTCTATTCCTAACATCCTTTCAATTAGGACCAAAAGCTTCCTTAGCAAACTCCTGGTACTCTTACCTTCCTTGCTAGCAGGAGTTGGCAATGGAGATCCCTTCCCACCAGGCAGTCCCACGTTCAGTGCCTGGAGCTGATTGGACCTCCTTGAAAGTGTCATTGGACACCTGCCTGAGGTTGCGGTGCAGTTGGCTGCTTTTGGAACTGGGATTCGGCTTGCAAGTGGAGATATGGTAGAACGAGTGTTTCTAATCTGATACGAGCCTCTATGGGGCTTGGAAACTGCTTGCAACTGTGACTTGTCACCTTCTGTTGTTTTGGACTGATCTGAGTGGGAAAAGAAAGAAAGGCTCAGGGATAAATAACTGAAATGCTTCCAAGCAGGAGAACCTCTCAGAGAAAGGTATAACCAACCTGGAACTGAATCCATAAACAAGCATGCAGGGAAGGGGAATTAAATGATGGGATAACCAAAGAAGCACTTTTATTTACACTCAAAAAGGCTTATTTATGCTACAGGATGTGTTTATGTCACATCTCCAAAGAAGCATTTTAAAAGGTTCTTTTCACCAAGGGCTCCTAAGGAAACTTATCAGTCATGCAAAAGGAAACTAGATCCTCTTGTGGAGCTATTTAAAGAGCTAGAAAGAAAACTATAGGTTTCAAGATGGTGGTGGGAGGGTCATCTCGGCATATCTTCGAGATCTTTGTAGCTAGGGTGCCCTGGACCACGGCAGCAAATGACCTAAGGGAATATTTTGCTAAGTTTGGCACTGTGAGGAAATGCTTATTGCCATTTGATAAAGAAACGGGATTCCACAAAAGTTTTTGCTGGGTTAGATTTTCTACAGAAGAAGGCCTCAAAAATGCCTTGCAGAAGGACTCGCATATTCTAGAAGGGGTTAAGCTTGAAGTTAAGCACCAAAGAAGTAGAGGTATTCCAGGCCAACATTCAGAACGAAGAATTGGGAACATCAGTTAAAGGACAAGATACTTTATTTCACTGCCATGTAAAGAAACAAATAAACTTGGATATATTCATCTCAAAAAAGAAAAGAAAAAGAAAACTATAGGATTTTCCTCATGAAAAGAAGCAAGGTACTGGAGACCTCCGGGAAATTCCATCAAAACTGATACCATCCAGTAAAGTTGATATAGTGGAGTGGCAGTTTGTAAACCACGATGGATGAATTACATTTATTTATTTATTAATTCAATTGCAGCTCTCACCAGTGCAAACCACCGAAGTCAGTAGAGAGGAATACAACTTATGGGACTTCAGTGAGTCATCATGACTTAATATAGATATACCCCTTTAATATATTATGTAACATTTGAAGAAAAACAGGAGCTATTCTTCATGTACCACATGATCAAGGGTCGTTTTATGAGGGCTAACAGAAGGAAATGCAGTGCAAATCTAAACCTAACATCTTTACCCAAGTATAACAATTTCAAGTGAAATAAGCTGATATTATTTCCCACAGCCAAAGCCCCATAATTCTGTGTAGCTCAAGAAAGTGTATGCGAAGAGTGTGTCTATGTCAACATACTTGCATTCGCCTTCTGGAGATCCACTGACTTTTTTGGAGCAGCAAGGGACCTCTTTGGAGCTCTGGTCTCAGGTGGGCAAAGCTTAGGATCCGGTTTTCCTTTCATACGTTCCACAGTTGTCGTACCTCTCCTGGATGAATCCTTATGGCTCAACTGATACAGCAAGATTGGGAAAGAAAATCAAATTGAATGCTGCACATCTCCTGCTAGGATATCTCAAGAGGGGTGTCTAATTTTCTGAAACTTAAAAGATAGCCTCCTCAAGAGAATGGGCTGCATAACCAAAATGCTACATGAACGTAAGGGAATAAAGGGAATTTTAGCAAGTGCGCATTTACTATCATGAGTAGTCCCTTTGAATTGTCCACTTATGGCCTATGTTCACACAAAAAGATGGAAACAGTGGCAGGTATTCCTGCATATATAAGCCTAGGGGCCCTTCCACACAGCCCTATATCCCAGAACATCAAGGCAGAAAATCCCACAATATCTACTTTGAACTGGGTTATCTTAGTCCACACTCTGATAATGTGGGATTTTCTGCCTTGATATTTTGGGATACGGGGCTGTGTGGAAGGGCCCTAGGACCTCCAAGAACCTAAATCTGGTCCTTAGTCTTTCCCACAGATGTCTGTGCCTTTACAAAAACTTCAAAATTTAGTGGTTTTCTAGTTTCTGCATGTTTTTTCTCATTTTGAAAGCCTGAAAGGCTCCTCTTACTGGCATTAGGAACTTTAAGCTAAATAGGCTGGTCACTTCTCTATAATTGGAATGGGCCCCATTGGAAGAGGCTCCTCAACCTTCATTTGGAGGGCTTTTCTGTAATATGCCCACAGCCTTTATCAGCTGAATACACCTCAACTCTGTCCCTTCTGGTATGTTTTTGTTTAGCTGACATCACACAAAATACCTGTGGCTCTTTACTGGGAGCATCTTTGCCAGTAGTTCCTGCTGTCTTCCTGCTGGTTCGAGGGACGGGCTTCAAATGCTCTGGGGACTGCTGATGTTGTGGGTTATCAGGGTTGGTGAGTGGAAGGGATTTGTCTTTTCTGCTGATCCTACTAGCCACTTGAGGCTTAAGAGAGAAGAAACATAGCAGGTAGAGGTGAGTGCACCCACTTAAATTACAGCATATTCATTTTGCCAATAGAAGGCTCTCAAAGCAGCTTGGAGGCACTGAAAACATACCAATATCAAAGGGCATCCGTTATAATATTACACAGCTGGACAAAGATTGGACATAGAGTTAAGCAGAAAATTCAGAACGATTCAATAAAATCCAAGACTGCAGAAACAGAAGGTTTTAATCCATTTTTAAAAAATCAGAAGAACTGGTAGGTGGACCATTTCAGCAGGAAGAGTAGGTGCCAACATTCAAAAAGTATGATCTCGAATGAAGAGCTAGCTTGATCACAATGGCTGAGAAAAAGGTATTCAAATAGTTAGACATTCACTCCGAAGTCTTCAGCCTATGGTAACATCAATACATACCATAAAAGAGTCCCCATACAAGCTAGCCAAGGACTGAATACAAGGGAGGGATAACATATTGGATTACAACTCCCAGGAGTTCTCATTACTGGCTAGGAGTAATAGAAGCTATAGCCCAACAACGTCTGGAGGGCTGCATGTTCCTCACCCCAGCAGAAGGGAAATGCAACATTACAATGTTATACATGCCTAATTGAAAGTTATGTCCTATTAGATTCCATACATTTGCTCTAAGATCTACCTTCCATGGACAAAAGGGCTCCACCCATTGAAGGTGCTTCTGTTCAGTTGACAGAGAGCCTCTTCCTGCCTACTCCATTCAACAGAGATCCCATAGTGCTGTTCCAAGGATGAGAATTTTATGGCTCAAATCCCACTCGCTGTCCCTGGTCTCTTCATTTCTAAATGAGATATTTCTGCTCTTCAGCATCTCAAGGATGAATAATTCCACCTTTTTTAAAAAAAGTGCACCTCCCTGCTTCCCCGCCACCATCATAAAGATTGACAAAATGGTAAGTGGGCTTCTGGCCATTGCTAGTTGAGAGTACACACAACTATTTCGCTTTCCCCCAATGGTTAATGCATCCTAAAGCCAAAAACGTGCCCATAGCCTGTTTGTTTCTACTCTCTGCAATATTTTAGAGGAAATGTAATGTATGGATCGAAGCCTGACTCCAACCCAATGTGGACTTCCTATGTGAAACTCACAGTTTGCTGTGCAAGCCATATCCATGGATAAACAACACATGCATGATCAGGATAAGAACCAGGATTAAAGACAGCACTACCCTGTGTACAAACATTAAGTGTAAATATAATGCATATGGGGGCCACTCCAGGCACTGTACCTTCTTAATGGTAGATCTAACAGTAGATCTGATCAATGTCGAGGCCCTGAGTGACTGCCTCACTCCATACTTCTTCAACTGCTGATCCTCAGTCCCCAAGATCTTTGGTTTATTTTGGAGTTTCTTGTTACTTGTTACACTGCAGGAAGCCTGACCTCCCCGCTTGGGAGAAGGAGCTTTGGGGGAATTTTGAGCTGAACCAGTTCCAGGCTCGACTGTTCGTAGAAGTGCCTGCATTTTGCTGTTTTTCACATCGAATGTCCTCCGTCTTGTTTTCCTGAATCTTGGGCTCTCCTCTTGCAAAAGTGGCAAAGGCTCACATTCGGAAACTGCCTGAAGCCCTATCTTCTCTCTCAGCCGGCACTTCTCCAGCTGAGAAGCCAGCATATTGGCTTCCTTCATGACCTCCGTCAGCTTCTCTGGACTGAGTGGCTTCCACTGAAAGGCCTGTCCTCCACCAGTACTTTCGCTCTCCCTGAGAAAAACATTCATGTCAATTGCTTGCACCACACACCTTTCACTGGGATACAGTGGAGTCCCTCTCTTCTTGTCTGTATCTAGCTACAGCAAGATCACCATATCTGTGGTGGATATAGTCTTGTAGTTATCTGAATGACCAAATGCCAATAAATTACCTGACACTCAGTTCTAGCATACCACATATTTGCATTTGGGGATATAGGGACATTTACATTGTTAAAACAACCCAGTTTAGCTTTGGCATCACTTTAACTGCTATGGCTTAATGTTATGGACTCTTAGGAGTTGTATTTTTATAAGGTTTGTAACCTTCCCTGTCCAAGAATGCGGCACCTCACCACACTACAAATTCCAGGATTCCATAGCAATGAGCCATGGCAGTTAAATGTGGTATCAAGCTACACTAATTCTGTAGTGTAGATATACCCCTAGGTAAATACTAGGTAAATCCTGAATAAATATTCTCTGTATAACAGATAAATACAGATTGACTCTCCCTTATCAAGAAATTCAAAATACTAAAACACACACACACACACAACTTTTTGGTGCGAGCTGCCCACTTCCACCTCGAGGGAAAGGGGGCTAGTCACATGTCCAGCACTCACTGAGATTTTCTTCAAAGAGCCCTTGCTCCACAACTGTCAGAAATCTGATGGGAGGGAAAGAAAGGGAAAGTGGGGAAGAACACCTACACAAGGCCTGTTTCTATGGAAATAAATGAGAAATGCACTACAGCAGAGTTACCAGGTGAAATGCAAAGGCAGAGTTCCTATACCTTTAAAAGAGGAAATGCCTGCAGGTGTTGCTTCTCATGCAATGGTCCCCTCCTGAAATTCCCTTTTGCACCTCGTATCTCACTATCAAGGATAGGGAGCAATTTTCAGTCCAGGACCTGATCCAAGAGACAGCTGGGTGCTGCATGATAGCAGAGGTGTGATCTCCCTACTCCTATGTGCACATATACACCTAATTCACACACACAAATATGCTGTACATAGTGTTTGGACCTTATATTCTACAACTAAAAAAGTGGCGAATGTCTCCATTTATAGAGCACTTAAAGGTGAACTGCAAAATGGGGGAAGTCCATCGTTTAAGGTGATTCAATAACATTCATGACTATAGGAGTGATGGAAATACACTTTTTTAAGATTAAGTTTGTTTTCGATTGGAAACCTCAATAGATACCAGCAATTCTGAAAAAAACTTGTTCTAGCAATTTTTGCATGCTTTTTAGAGATTCTGTGGGTACTATGAAGTAGCACATTCTTGCTGGCTTATAGAGCCGAGTCACATTACTAGGACTTCCAAGCACCAGCCTTACCCATCTAATGGAGAATACAGATCAACATCCAGGGTCTCTTCTGTAATAAATTTTATACCTAGAGGGAGATGAAATAGCAATTCTGAATCATGACCATAAGCAAAGTCTTGATCAACATTTACACTATTTCAACACTTCCTTGTCGGAAAGAGCACAACCATTTCTTCCAATGCACAAATAGGAATCCTCGCCTTATAGAATACACTTCATAGCTCCCTTTTACACTTGCAAACTCCCATGCTCTAAATCTTGTGGGATTTGGTGCAGAATATAGAATTAAACAGATTTGCCCAGTTTTATTTTTGCTGACTGATAATTTGATGATGTGTTACAAGAAGAAATCTTGAATTCCATGTCAGGAAAAAGGGAGAACGTTACATAAATAAATAAATATTACTACATACTCGTAATGGCACCACGTGAGGATGATAATGTTAAAGGACCTGCATTTTGAATAATTAGCAGCTAAAAGTGTTTAGATTTACAGTTGGTCCTCTATTTAAGGATTCTGTATTCATAGATTCAACCATTCATGGCTTGAAAATATATATGTTTAACTCATATTTGTATATTTTAAATCGTATGCTAATGTTTTAATGTTAACCCACTTTGAGTCTTCTTTGGGAAAGATAAAGCAAGATATAAACAAATACAAATATAGCAATATAATAATAACAATAACAATAATAATAATAATAACAACAACACACGAACTTTGATTTAGCCACTTTATATAAGGGACATCATTTTACTGTAACTTTATACAAAATGAGAGTTGAGCTTTCACTGTTCCCCCCCCCCCCCCCAAAGGGTCCTGGAATCAAACCCCAGTAGAAAGCAAAGGCCTATTGTATGTTTTTCAAAAGTAATTTTTACAAAGACAAATATGAAAAATGGGCTGCTGTGAACTTGATGAGAATTCAAAAATTAACACACCCAACTCTGAAGCTTTGTTTATCTGTATACATAATTAAAAACCCACTCTTGACGATATTCAGATGCTCACCTTCTATTGGCAATGCCATGTTTTCCAGGTACAATCTAAAGAAATGATTGAATAACTGAATAAGAAAGAAAGCAATTATATACATCTTTAATAGGAAATAATGTTAGAATTAGAAGTCAATTAAATTAAACAGAGCCTCATTTCCAACAGGTTGGACTAGATCCATAGGAATCTTTTCCAGTTATGATTCCATGAAGATCCCTACGGTTACTAAAATCTTTGTTTCTTGTTGTTCCATTAATTAAAATATATTAATAAAACACAAATGGGTTCACTGGGAAGCAAGTTCATTATCATCATAAGCCTAAATAGTATCTCCCACCCTTACAGACAATGTGTATGCATGTGTCTTCAAGTCACCTGTTAGCTCATGGAAACTCAGAATAACCCAGAATATCAAGGCAGAATAATCCACAATATATGCTTTGAACTGGGTTATCTGAGGTCACACTGCCATACATCCCAGTTTAAAGCAGATATTGTGGGAATTTATTCAGCTGTGTGGAAGGGGCCTGGATTATATGGCTGTGTGGAAGGGCCCTAATTCATTGCAGTTTATTCTAGTTGACTAAAGCTGATTTAACTTCATTGCCTAAGCAGACTCTAGGAAATTAATCAGATTACCACCAATCAACAGATGATTTGAATACATACTTCCCACCAAAGCAAACATTCAGTACATTTAACATGCACTCTTGCATTTTTCCTTGCTTATATAACAGGCACCAAAATAAAACAGCTTTACAAATGTTTCACTTTGGCGATGCACTTTTTAGACATGTATTATTTTGTGACACCATAATTTGGTTTTAGGATAAACCAACACCTTATAAGAGATATGGAAATATAAAAAACTTGTAATAACAAAATGTATGGGACACAACATATTTCATGAAAGCCTTTCATTTATATTTTAATACATATATGATTAATTGATTATTTCATAGAGAGTCAGAGGTTTCTCTTTACGTTCACATAACACACCCACACATTGCAGCCCACACACTAATGAGTTTGGAAAGTTTCAGAGGGAGTAAAGCTTCGCTCTAACAGCCCTGCTATGATGTAACCTGAGATCCTTTTGAACAAGGCTCCAATATATTCAGGAAGTACCTCCCATTAGGACCGTTAGGAAGGGTCCTTAACAGCAATGTAAAAGCATGTTGAAGCTTTTCAGCTGATCATAATAAAATATATTGGGCGGCATTAGCATTCCCCCACCCCCGTCCCCTTTACTGGATGTCACATGCATCTTGTGTCTTTGCATGTGTGTGTGTATACATAATCAACTTGGAACTAAAACCCCTTCCACACAGCTGAATAAAATCCCATATTTTCTGCTTTGAACTGAAACTTATGGCAGTGTGAACTCAGATAACCCAGTTCAAAGCAGATATTGTGGGATTTTCTGTCCTGATATTCTGGGTTACATGGCTGTGTGGAAGGGTCCTAAGATAAGTAAGCCTTAAACTTTTCCAGCATTAACCACATTTCTGGTCTGCAAAATTGCATTTGCCCAGGTTGAGTATTCCCTTATTCACTTGGGACCAGGCAAGTGTGTGTGTGTGTATGCAAGTATACTTTGGAATACATATAATGAGATCTCTTGGAGGTGAGACTCAATCAGATAAGGAATAGTGAATGGCCCAATGGAATGACTATGGACTTGATTTTGGATGGCGTGATGTTAATAACTGTTTTTAAATCGTGTTATCGGTGGGTTTTAATATAAATATTATTATCAATGTTTAATTTTTTATGCTTTATGTCTAAATGTTCTTGTATGCTGATGTTTTAATTTGGTTAGGTTAATGTATAGTTATATATCATTGTCTTGCTATTACCTTTTGCTTTTCACTTGTATGTCCGGCATTTAATTTTGCCTTAATAATGTTGGAAACTGCTTTGAGTTCCTTTAGGGGGAGAAAAGCGGTGTGTGTGTGTGTGTGTGTGTGTGTGTGTGTGTGTGTGTGTGTATATATATATATATATAGAGAGAGAGAGAGAGAGAGAGAATAAAATAATAAATAAATAAGTGCAAATATGGAAGCCATTTATGGTTCACATAATCCTTATACGCATAGCCTGGAGATAACTTGGAGAGAGAGAGAGAGAGAGAGAGAGAGAGAGAGAGAGAATAAAACAAACAAACAAACAAATAAATAAATAAATGTGAATATGGAATCCATTTATGGTTCTCATAACCCTTATGAGATAAGCCTGAAGATAACTTTATACTCCACGTTGTCCATTATTTTGCACATGAAACAAGCTGAACCATCAGAAAGAGAATTTTGGAGTATCTTAAATTCCTGACAAGGGGTGTATCATATGAATGTCCATCTAGCTTAGACATGGGCAAATTTGGGCCCTCCAGGTGTTTTGGACTTCAACTCCCACCATTCCTAACAGCCTCAAGCCCCTTCCTTTCCCCCCTCAGCCGCTTAAATGCCCATGCCTGCCCTATTATTATTATTATCTTTATTTGTACCCCGCTAGCATCTCCCGAAGGACTCGATGCGGCTTACAAAGGCCAAGGCCTCAAAACACAACATAACAGTACACAACCTAAAGCAAATTAAAAACAGTTAAAGCAATATTAAAACAACAGCAATAAAACAATACACCAAGACACAATAAAACTGGGCTGGGCCAGAGTAATGAGTACAGATTAAAAGTGCCGATGTGACAGGTGATATGTAAGGATTATACGGTAAGTGCAGTGTGCCGGCAATCTTAATTTCTAATAAAGTGCTTATGGGACTTGTTGGAGTTTTCCTATTATGGAAAGGCACATCGGAACAGCCAGGTCTTCAAGTTCTTCTTAAAGACTGCCAACGTAGGGGCCTATCTAAGATCTTTGAGGAGGGTGTTCCAGAGTCGGGGGGCCACCACAGAAAAGGCCCTATCTCGCGTCCCCACCAGATGCGCCTGCGACGCTGGCGGGATCGTGAGCAGGGCCTCTTTGGATGAATGAAGTGAGCGCGTGGGTTCATACACGGAGATGCGGTCACGCAGGTAGGGTGGTCCCAAACCGTTCAGGGCTTTGTAGGTAACCTGCACCTTAAATTGGGCTCGGAAAATAAACGGCAGCCAGTGGAGCTCCTTAAACAGGAGGGTTGACCTCTCTCTGTAAGGAGCGCCAGTTAACATCCTGGCCGCTGCCCGTTCAAACTTCCGAGCCGTTTTCAAGGGCAGCCCCGCGTAGAGCGCATTACAGTAGTCCAATCTAGAGGTGACCAAGGCATGGACCACCCCGGCCAGATCAGCCTTTGCCCTGGGATGTTAGAAACGCCCAGTGTGGGGCATGACATTTGAGTTAAAGAAAACGCAAGTGACAAAAAGACTTAAATCCCGTTCCCTATCTTAACAAGCTCTAATCCCCATGCGGCATGCACTCGCCCTTCTTTCCTTCCCTCTCACCACCGGGGCGCTATCGCTTTGGACCAGAGGCAGGCAACAAAAGCGGCAGAAGAAAAGCCACATTCGAATTTCCCCTCCAGCGTGACGTCACGACAACATTCCGCGCTCCTTTATGCTCATTGGCCCTCCTCTCGGCCACGCCCCCTCATCTCCCGCGTCTGTCGCAAGGGGGCGGCAAAGGCAAACGCACCGGAAGTGTCCGTCGGAGTTTAGAGTCCCCCAGCCAGGAGGATAGCCCAGCATGGCGGCGGTGCCCCCCGACACCTGGCAGCCCCCCACGGTTACTGTGGAGACGACGTGAGTGAGTGGGAGGGCCTCAGCATAGAGAGACATAATTTTATTTTCGTGTGGTAGGTTTCATCTACCATTCCCAGCATTTTCATAGCAGAAATGGGACAAGTGCCTGAATTAATTATCTCCCTGCCGGAGGGTGCATCTACACCAGGCATGGGCAAACTTGGGCCCTCCAGGTGTTTTGGACTTCAATTCCCACAATTTCTAACAGCTTCAGGATCTTTTCCTTTTCCCCCTCAGCCAGGAAAAGGAAAAGATCCCCAAGCTGTTAGAAATTGTGGGAATTGAAGTCCAAAACACCTGGAGGGCCCAAGTTTGCCCATGCCCTGGTGTACACAGTCGAATTAATTCAGTTTGACACCACTTTAACTGTCTTGATTCAATGCTGTGGAATCCTGGGAGCTATAGTTTAGTGAGGCAACAAAACTCTTTGGCAGCAAAGGGTATTTTCTGTATTTTGAAAAGTAAAGGTAGAAAGCTGTTTCTCAGAGGCTGCACCTTTTAAACTTGGAGTGTTAACCGCCTTGAGTCCCCATGGAGAGAAAGGCTGGGAATAAATAAAGATAATACTAACAACAACAACAACTATGGATCATCGATGTTGCAATCCCAGGCGACTGCAGGATTGACAAAAAGCAACTGGAAAATTATTTATTTATTTAAAACATTTATATTCTCACCCTGAAGGGGACTCAGGGTGGAGCACAGCATATATACGGCAAATATTCAATGCCGGGACACAAATTCTTATATACATTCATAAACATTAAAAACATTTATCAAAATATTAAAATACACCATTTAAAACTGTCCTAGTCATCAGTGTCAAATCTAATTGGCCTGGTAATCTTTCCTATTGCTGCTTTATTGTCCTGTCCCAAAAGCTTGGTCCCAKAGCCAAGTTTTTACTATCCTTCTGAAGGACAGGAGGGAGGGGGCCGACCTGATCTCACCAGGAAGGGAGTTCCATAACTGGGGAGCAATTGCCAAGAAGGCCCTGTCTCTCATCCTTACAAAAAAAAAACTTACACAATATGAGGATTTAAAGATAGTACTGRACAAGCCATTAAAGGTGGTCTCAGTGGTGATCGGCACACTGGCTGTAGTGCCTAAAGACCTTGGCCTGCACTTAAAAACAATTGGCGCTGACAAAATTACCATCTGTCAGCTGCAAAAGGCCACCCTACTCAGATCTGCACACATTATTTGCTGATACATCACAGAGTCCTAGACACATGGGAAGTGTCRGACATGTGATCAAATACAAAAGCCAGCATAGTGATCTTATTTGCTGTGTACTAATCTTGTTATGTATCACATAATAATAATATAATGGTAATAGTAACAAGGGTGGGTGTTTTGAACTGTAATGGAAAGAAGCTATTTTTTCAATAATAGCTTTCCCCCCTGCTTCTTGAATCATTACAAGTGAACACATGCATTTCAAATCCTCCTCTGCTTATTCTTTGCAGGATGGGACACATAGTGGTGGAACTGTATTGGAAACATGCGCCCAAGACCTGTAAAAATTTCGCAGAACTGGCCAGGCGTGGCTATTACAATGGAACAAAGTTTCATAGGATAATCAAGGACTTTATGATCCAGGGGGGAGATCCCACAGGGACTGGTAAGAATGTGCTCTAAATAAGTGCAGTACAGGCAGTCCCCAAGTTATGAACAAGATAGGTTTGTTCTTAAGTTGAATTTGTGTGTAAGTTGGAACAGGTACATTTTGTAAGTGTAACTCCAGATATCCAACTATGGCTTGTGTAGGGAAGGATTAATACTCCTGTGGTATTTGCTTTGCTCTCTGTGCCCCTATTCAGAATATATGACCCCACTTTCTGTCCCTGTGACAATTGGGTTATGAAAAAAATTATGAAAACAAGGGTTGATGAAAAAGATTCAGTGGAGACAACTTTTCCCCGTTATAACTCTTTCAGGAGTGAATTTCCCTTTCGAGGGGTAGATTTCTGTCACTTTCTGTTGTCTCACACCCATTTGTAACCATTAGTTCATTTACTCAGGTCAAAGTATGTTATATTTTGTGGATTTATGTATTATGCTTTATGCATCCTCATGGTCCTGCTAGTTACTGCATGGCTATTGGGTGTGGCCCCTATGGCAATGGCAATGCTGGGTTCAATGTGATATCTAACATACTTTAACCTGAGTTAATGGATACTTAATGGTCACATTGTAAAACAGAAACATATCAGTCTTGCAATTTTTTCTCTTACGGGTGATACTGTTCACAATCATATACAGGTAGACCCTTTTTAAATAATTGGCTTTGAACTTTGGTAAATTTTTCCATTTGCACCAAAAGTGTCAAATTTATAGATGCTGTAGATATATAGATGCTGGGTACTTGCAAATTTGGCAGTATTATGTCCAGCACAAATATAATGCTTGGTCAAAATTTCAAGTACAACAAAATTAGAGAACCTGATAGTGGGAAGGTTTAGAGCACTTGGCATGGAATCACCCTCTATGAATTTGCTGAAATTGTCCTGCTTTAGGTGTTTGAGGGCCCTTCCAGACAGTCCCTATATCCCAGGATCTGATCCCAGGTTTTCTGCTTTAAACTGGATTATATGAGTCTGCACTGCATGATGATCTGAGATAAACAGAAACCCTGCGATCAGATCCTGAGATATAGGACCTATTTGGAATGGCCCTGAGTCCAACTCCCATCAGCCTTGATATATTGCCAGGGAATATACAAATGAAATACAAAACACATTGAGAACAATTGTTCGGGAGTGGCAGGCTAAAAATATGTATTGCCATTTATTTACAGTCGGTGCTTTATTTCTCACAATATTATAAAAGGACTTCATAAATAAAAATTAGATAGTCTATCAGTTCAGGCTCTCGAGACAGTGAGTACACCTCTGTCTCAACCATAACTCTGCATATTAATTTGTTTAGTCCTGTTATTTGGCAGGAAGAGGAGGAGCATCCATCTTTGGCAAACAGTTTGAAGATGAACTTCAGCCAGAGCTAAAGTTTACAGGTAGGTAATGTTTTCAAGAATCTTCAAATATTCCAGACTTATAAATATGTATGCTGCCTGGTTCACAATGCAGATCATTATAGGACAGTAAAGCAGATTAGAACATTAATACATTATCTTAAAAACAGTGGACCAAATCCATTGTTAGTCCTTCACAGAATTGGTCCTTTGAAATAAATTGAGTTGCTGTAGGTAGAGCTAGAACTGGATGTATCTTGGTATCTTAAATGCTGGTACTATAGGATCAACCAATGCAAATTTGCACCTTTCTGAAGCTTAGAAACAGAACTCTCCTGGAGCAGGGCTTTTTTTTTTGGGGGGGGGGGGGGGGGGAGTTATCAGGGGAAGGAACACAAGTTAACGCCTTCCAGTTCTATTAAATCAAGCATTAATGCCCCATTGGCTGCTTGCCAGTGCTATAAACTGACTCAGCAATTAGGTAAAATTTGAATGAAAAAAATATTTTTGACTAAACAACAAAATGTAAGAATGGTGGTGCTAGCTTAGTGGGGGTCAGTAGAAAGATCTAACAACTTGGTGGAAAGTTGCAAATTTACAAAGGCACAGAAATTTTAGAGTGAAGTCATAAGAACTGGCTACCTCTTAAATTGTTCCTCCACTTTTGTGGGAGTTAGGGCACAGTTTCCCTGCAAAAATGGAAAAAAATGTGAGTGTCTCCAGGGGGCAGAGTACAAAGCATTACCGTTGTGGCTGGGTTGCGGGGGCAGTCCTGCATTTCTAGTTGAGTCCAACTCGGGGGGGGGGGGGGGGGGGAGGTGTGTATATCTCCATTTCTAAGCCAAAGAACTGGCATTGTCCATAGACCCCTCCAAGGTCATGTAGCCAGCATGGCTGCATGGAGCACCGTTACCTTCCCACCATAGTGGTACCTATTGATCTACTCACATTTGCGTGTTTTCGAACTGCTCGGTTGGCAGAAGCTGGGACTAAAAGCAGGAGCTCACTCCACTCCCTGGATTTGAACCACTGATCCACAGTTTAAACTGCTGCACCACCAGGGACTCCCTATTTCACTTACTCTATGGATTCAAGTTTCATTTTCTTTTTCTGCATTGCTTGAGTATATCTGTCATCTGGGCAAAGGAAAGAAGATACTGTGAGGACCTCTAATGTGTGATACAGTGGAAGAGGAGGAATAACCAGCCCAGGGGATCAGGTTCCTCTTTTTTCCCTGTGTGCTGCATGTTTCTGTTCCCACTTGTACTCCTCTTCCTCTGCCAAGGTGGAACTGAAATTTGCAGAACACAGGAAAATGAGCTGGATCCACGGGGTAAGTGAAGCGATGCTGAGCCAGCTCCTCCTCTTACCTTCATGCCACGAGTCTTTGTTTTGCCCATGAAAGTAGGGAAGATGCCAGGTAGAACAAAGACTGATGGCAAGCAGGACGAAGAGGAAGAACGAGCCCCACCTGCACTTGGGCCTTAATTAACTGCTAAAACTAATTCCTCCTCTTATTTCTGTGTGCTACATTTTCCTGTCTCCCCCACCCCCAGTGCTCCTTTTCCATGGTCTGGGCAGGATAGAAAGTTGTGGAACACAGGAAGAGAAGCCAAATTTGCAGGAAAAGAAGAGGTACTAGATAGAACTGAGACTTCTGAACAACTTCTTGCTCACCTATTTCTTTCATAGAAGCTTGGGGTCTTCATCCAATCTGACATTTCCGAAGTCCAGGATACCTCCTATATAGGAGTTATATTGATCTCATTGAGTAGCCTGGTTGTATTTAAGAACTGAAATGTAGTACAGGAATGGTAATATCGACGACGAATTGGATCACGACTCTAGTTATGAGATGCATTGTGTTGTTTATTGTTGTGTTAATACTGTATATTATGCTCTTATGGTTTTAAATTGTATACTGTTGATTGATTTTTATCCTTGTTGTAAACTGCGTTGAGTCGCCTGTTGGGCTGAGAAACTGCGGTATACAATTAAAGTAAAGTAAATAAATAAATAAATAAATAATAGTACTAAAAATAGAACAAAATGTTACAGTTCTGTGTGTCAGGAAAAATTAACTTGGGAGTCTTTCATTTGTAACAGGCTTTTTTCCCCTTAAGGTGCAGGTATCCTTGCTATGGCGAATGCAGGCCCAGATACCAACGGCAGCCAATTCTTTATCACATTAGCACCAACCCAGTGGCTTGACGGGAAGCACACTATATTTGGTCGTGTTTGCCAGGGAATTGGGATAGTCAACAGAGTTGGCATGGTGGAAACCAATGCACAAGATCGGCCTGTGGATGATGTAAAACTCTTGAAGGTTTACCCATCAGGCTAGGCTAGATGTGGTGAAATAGTTGTTGAATCAAATTGTATTCCATTGTGTACTATTTCTTTGATGATATGAGTTGTGTTCCAAGGCAAAACCTGCTACAAAATAATTTTTTACCAAATTATGTCTTCAAAATGTATTGTTTTTTTTAATAAAACTAAATTTATGGAAAAAATGTTCTGAGTTATTTAACTGGATTAGGGGAAGTTGCCACCAAATTGTGACTTTATTCTATTATATTTTATTTTGTCTACTGCCTGCAGTTTAATTGGAAGGTAGTAATCATTCAATTCGTCCTGTAAAGAGAGAACTGGGCTAACAAGATTTTGTAAGTTAACAGAACTGTATGCAAAACAAAGCAGGGTATTTACATGGGTCTCAGGGCAGCATTGAAGTACCATCTCACCTTTCGACATAGAAAGAAAAAGGAGATGATCTGTTAGAATTAGTATAAGAGTTTATAATGGCTTGCATGTGCAATAAATCTGAACCTCAAATAAGAAATGTGACCTTCTGCTTCTGTACATAAGGAACCTTGATACTGCATTTGATCCACATTTTAGAAGAAAAATGCTTTGCATAACATTTTAGTATGCAGAAAGCATCTTGTGGTTATCCAGATATCATTTAACTGCAACTTCCAGCAGCCTTAGACATGATGAGGCATGCTCTGAGCTACAAGCTCAGACTGTCTGGAGGGCTACAAGTTGGCTGACCTTGTTTCAATAATTATGTAGCAAAAAAGATTGTACTTTACATTTGCACAACTATTAAGGATTTACTATAATCCAGATCACTTATCAGCCCACTGTTAGGATAAAATTCCAATTTTGGAAGGAAAGATATTCTCATTGTATTGTTTGTTTTTAGCTAAAATTGAGTCACTTCAAAAGAACCAAATCCTCAATAAACTTGGGCTAGGAGAAGGTTTGCTTCATGCAGCATATTCTTTGTATACACTGGATTTTCTTAACCACCCACCTCATGTTAAGAAAACAAAGACTTTCATGCACTTAAACCTAAACCAAGAACTTCTTCACTTTTAGAGAACCACTTAGACAGGACAATAAGTTGCAACTTGGTTAGTAGTCTCCACAGGAGAAAAAACACTACTCTTAAAAACTAATATGATAGCTATTGTGAGGGTCATGCTGACCAGTGGTAAAATGTCCTCTGACATAATGTAGATGCTCTGGAAATGCCTTGCTCTTTTTTGCAGTTACCTGCAAATTATAAAATTTCCTAAAATTCACAGTCAACATCTTTTTGTAATGTTCTTTATGATGCCAAAATTTAGAGGGTTTCTATGTCCCATGGAAAGCGGACGCCTGGCAATTTTGCTAACAACGGAGGAAAACGAATCAGAAATCAGGAATGGAGAGTCTTACAGGATGAAGGCAAATGACCGAGGCTTTATTTGATTTGCGCAGAAAAGACATTTATACAGCACAGGTGTTCCAAAGTACAAAGTGTAAAACATACTTGTAAAACAGACATTCTTACAAACATAAGTTTCCATTCACCATTATGGTCTAGTTTTGAAATTTCCCTCCCTCTCCCTTGATTGGCCAGCTCCGATAAGCCTGTCACTGCCCCCTTGGTCTCTGATTGGTTGGGAGGTGCGACCAAGCTGGCTTCTGCTTTAATAGTTGAGAGCACTGATGACGCGGCTGGGGATCTCCTTCTTCCTGGTCAGGTAAGCCCGAAGGCTCCCAATGGTTCTGTAGAGGCAGTCCGGGGGAGGAGGGAGCTCCAGGGGCTGTGCCTGCCCCTTGCTGTTCAGCTTTTTTTTTGTTGTTGTTGTTGTTGCTTGTGTAAGGAGTGACTTGAGAAACTGCAAGTTGCTTCTGGTGTGAGAGAATTGGCTGTCTGCAAGAACGTTGTGTGTAAGTTAGAACAGATACATTTTATAAGCGCCCAGGGGACGTTCTTATCCCAGACATCACCCCATACCAAGAGACAAATAAGGAGTCCCAAGGTGTATTTTCAGTGATGAGATCATAATCACAGTTTTTCCTTGGACCTTTGTCTTATGGGGTGGCAGGGAGCTCCAAAGAGGAACTGACAGGCAGCTGGTATCAGGATCAGGAAGGTCTTTTGTCACAATGTCCCATCTCAGGTTTTGATGCTGGGTATGGAAGGTGGAATCTGGAGTGACTCAGAAGAGTTAACTAGAGTTCACGGACTCATGTACATTTGCCTTCATTTTATAGAATTTTAAATAGTAATAAAAAACAAAATGATAAAAAGTAGAAATAGAAAACAAACATGGTGTTGCTTTGTGTTAATCATTCATAGAGGGGGCGAGAAAGGGGTGAGGAAGAGGAGTTTCACCATAGCCAAGCAGCAGCTGGAAGGCCCATTGGTGGTGTTTGTTATATTTTGGCTCCTTCACTCATGCGCACATTCACAGAAGAGAGAATAAGAAAAAAACAAAGCAACCTGGAGGAATATACAGTAGCAAGGGAAGGGCTACATGGTGGCAAGGGAATGCAGGTGCTTGTGTTACTTTGTAGTCATCTGGCTTAGCTAGGGAAAGGGAAGCCAGTCGGGTGATCTTCACTAAGTTCTTGTGGGTTTTTTCGGGCTATAGGGCCATGTTCTAGAGGCATTCTAGATGTTCTAGAGGCATTCTAGATGCCTCTAGAACATGGCCCTATAGCCCGAAAAAACCCACAAGAACCTAGTGATTCCAGCCATGAAAGCCTTCGACAATACATTGATCTCCACTAACCTTGTGGAGATCCGTTCCAGCAGGCCCGCCTCAAGTTGAACAGCTTGAGCTGGGTGCGGGGGTGAGAATGTGGGGCTACTGCTGGTCTTGAAGAAGCTTGAGACGATGTGGTAGGATGGGGGTCATTTCCAGTTCATCTGGCCCCCTGACCTTGGGGAAACTACAAATTACTGGGAACAATTCATGTTTACTTTTTGTTTGGGGGGGGGGGTCTTTGATAACATGTAGATTCACAACAAATCTTCCTCATTATTGTCCCTGCTCCTGAATAGAATGCTTGGTTATGAATACTTATTTGAAGAAATAAGGCCCAGACTGAAATTGGATATGGGAGCACCATGTATTGCTAGCAATGGAAGAGGGATGTATATTTGTTTTATATTCTTCATGAAGGTTTTTAACTAGTTAGTCATCAGACCCACCTTTGGGACTCAACTCCTTGCTAGAGTTAGGTTAGCCAACGTCAAGTTTCATTTCTGTGGCATCCTGATGGTCCCAAAACATTTTGGAACTTGAGATTCTGCCCTCCTGTAGCTCTTTAAGTAGAGTTCATGAGAGATTTCTAGCACTGTATGTGAAATTCTCCAAAGCAAGTGCCACAACTCGACAGGATGAAGGAATCTAGGCACCAGACCTCAAGCAATTGGGCCAATCAATTGACTTCATTTTCTGTGCTATTAGCAAACTTGCTTACAGGATGTTGCAACTCCCAACTGAAATGGCTGTTATCAGAATTATCTTTAGGCTAAGTTTTCTGATTATTCTGATTATTCACAGTGGGTTCAAAACTTGCAACTGTTTTAGGATTACTTTGTTTCATGAGAGTTATGAGTCGCAGGGTTATTAATCAGAGGTTTTTTTTTTTATTCAACTGTTCAGGATGCAAGAACTTACTAGTAAAACTATAGCTTTTTCTATAAAAGAACAATGAATCATTTGCTCTTCATTGTTGCTGTTCAAATGCCTTGGAAAAATTACAATAAAATTATATTTCAGAAAGGCAAAACACTTGTTTCATGGAAAGGTCTTGGATTGCTAACTCAAGAAGAAGAATTTCCTAAGAATGTCTTAATTGTTTGAATTATACAAACATTGCTTTTGTTCTAATTAACTATTTCTCTAAAGTCATCTCACGCTATATTGTTTAAATATAGTGTATCTTAAAGAACAAATTTAGCCACTACTGCTCCCCCCCCCCAAGGACCTTCTGACACTTTCAGTATTGTTAAAAGTTTAGTTTAGCTACTTTTTAAATCAAATGTTTTTTTGTAAATACTTATACATCTCCGTTCTGATATCTGTCTTTAAAAAATCATTCTATTATGTACAGTGGAACCTGTACTTAAGAGCATCCCAACTTAAGAGCATTTTAAGTTAAGAGCTGTTGCCTGGCTTGGGTTTTGCTTTGACATAAAAGCAGCATTTTTGAGTTAAGAGCTAGTGCGAGGGGGAGTGCTAGCATGAGAGTACAGGGCTTTAGGGCTTCAAGAGAGCAGCCTCCATGCCTTGTGCTCTTGTCTGCTTTGGTAGATTGCTATCTGCTTTGTCTGCTCTGAGGGACTTTGGGTTAGTTGATTTTGTGTGGTTTTCATTCCTAGTATGTTTGGCTTCTTGAAGAGAGAGAGGGGTGGGGAGCAAGAAAGAGAGGGGGGCAGGAATGAGTACAGTGTGAAGGAAATGATGTTTCCACCTCTTCACTTTGTGCTTCTACCATTGTGCCACAACTTTGCACTTCTGCCATTTTAAAGTTGATCCTTCTTTCTTTATATTGTTCCATGTGAATGTGCAAATGTTTTTTTGCTGTCACACTTTTGCCAACACACATTTTATTGCCTCAAATGTGCTTCCTCGCCACAACTTTGTGCTTCTATCATTTGAAAGTTGATCTTTTTAAAAATTGTTCCATGTGAATGTGCATGTATACATTATTTTTTATTTTTAAAGTACATTTTCTTATCTAAGAAAAGTAACAAAAATGGGAGGAGGTGGTTTGGGAGGCCGGAACGGATTAATAGCATTTCAATGGGAAATTTGCTTTGAGATAAGAGCATTTTGAGTTAAGACCTGAGTCATGGAACAAATCAAACTTTGAAGTCATGGTATCACTGTATATTATTTTATTTCTAAATGCTTTGTGTCATAGGTGGGGGGGCGTCCACTTGGCCCCAAATCAACAACAGTATTTCAGTGAAGGATTTTCTTGTAATATTAGATTTAAAAGCATAAAAGTACAACATATAAGTGGAATACACAGACATAAACAAATCTGGTCTTTCAGACACTTTTCCCAGAAGCAGTCTGCACACGCTAGGTTCATTTAGATAACTCCTTTTTCACTTATAACAACTGCTACTTTAGGAAAGATGCAAGCATTTTTTATGCTTCAAGTAAGAACTACGTTCCCCCTTTCAAAACATTCTGAAAACATTAACTATTTATTT